GGAGAGGGCACCGTAACATACCCCTCCCCTTAAAATAAGAGTCATATCGGAAGAGCAGCACTCAAGAGGGCAATCTATACTCTTGCTCCCTCCGTTCCTGAAGTGTCACTCCTCCAGTTGGTGACGTGGCTCGTACCACCTTGCCAGTCACTTGCCTCATTGTATCTCCACCTCGCATAGTACCGGGTGTGATGGGTGTTCCCTGAACACCTACAAGAAATCCTCTCTCCGTGGCTACGAGTGTACTCCCACGGCTCGTTACCACTGTAAGATTCAGTGCATGCAGCGCCTCCACCGCGTCGTGCACTCCGAGATAGTCTTGCATTTCCACTGCGTCCTACAGGTACTCCATGTTTCCTCTCATGATCTCCTCTTCGCCAATCTTCTCTCTTCTCGGTTCCTCTTCTCCCATAGGTGCGTTGTCTCCTCACAGTGGCACTTGTAACCTGTACTCCATCCAGCAGCTTCCTCTCTTCCACACTAGGCTTTTGCGATGGCCCAATGCCCCTCTGGTTAGGCTGGCGCCTACCCTGGGTGTACCTATTCCCTGCTTTCTTCGTATTGCCTTTCCTATACCACTCGCTCCTTCGTTCCCGACGAACATCTTCACTCCTCCATGAGATTCTCTTCCCTGCAGACGTCTTCTTCGGTTCGTGGTTGGGCTCATCCACCTCCCTGTGGCTCACCTCACCACGGTGGTTCATCTTGCACCTACCACTATTCATCTGGCCGGCATAGGGTGCACTGCGTCGTGGCTCCTCCACTCTGCCCCTCACTGCCGTTCGCTCATCCACTGAGCTTACTTTATTCACGTTTCTGTATGGAGGGAGTGCGGTCTGCAGCCTCTTCACCGCCCCAGGCGTTTGTACAGCTGCTCCTCGCCACTCCTCCACACGCATCATCAGGCTTAGTCGGAGGTCCCCGTCGGGGTTTTCCACAACCTCCGACGACCTCTCTGCACTCTCGCCCTCGTTGTCGTCGTCTCTGGCGACGTTTTCCCTGGCGAAGTCGGCTTCCTCACTATCATCTGGAACGACCGATACCTCACCTGGCAGGGTTGTACCGCTGCTTGCAACATAGGCACTCCTGGCCCAATCGGGTTGTATCCTGCCTCCTCCGAGGTCATTACCCAGCACCATCTGTACATGCTCTAGGGGTAACTTAGGGGCTACAGCTACTATAGCTTTCTCGACTCCGCAGTCGGCAATCAGCTGTACTTCGTGAAGTGGCAACCTGTATTCCTCCCCCACACTGCGTATCCTCACCACTCCCACAGGTGAATCATTAAATTCCTTGGGGAGAATACTCCTGGTCACCATACTTATGTCAGCACCCGTATCTCGAAGCACGGCAACCTCCACTGGGTCTGACTTTCCAAACTTCACGTTGGCCCCGAAAACGAAGGGATGTTCACCCAACTTCATTTCCCAACCATTCACGTTGGGTCCACTATAATATGGGGTGTGAACAAACACTCTCTCCTCTTCCAACATTAATCCTACATTCCTTTGGTGCTCCTCACACTCGCGGGCATAATGTCCTCTCACACCACAGTTGTAGCATCGGCTGCCTCCCCTGGGCGGCCACTCGCTAGTCACTCTGGCGGTACCACTTGCAGACGTCCCCTGGGTCCTCCTTGGACTCCCTGTCGTCGTGTCCGGGACTGCAGCACTTGCTCCCGAGCTAGGTCCACTGCTCACAGCTTGGGGCTTCCTCCCCGCGTCTCTTGAGCTCTTGAACCACGTTACTTCATCGGGCACACTACTCTTGGGAGAGTCCCCACCCGTCCTCGCTCCTCCTGAACTCCTAAGGTTCCCTCCCGACCTGGGGTAAGGCGAGTGTCTGGGCGGCCCCTCCCTCCTGATATGTAGTGCCTCCTCCAGCATGTCGGCTCGATCCGCTGCAGCCTTCAGGTCCTTAATACCTGCTTCTCTCACCCTTACTCGCAACTCAGGATGGAGCACCGACATGAACTTCTCCATCACTATCAGTCGTTTGATATCATCCACCGACTCCGCTTCCTCCGCCTTCAACCATCGTAGGAATTTCCGTTCCATATCCCTGGCGGTCTCGGCGTAAGTCTTTCCCGACGCTCTTGTACACTCTCTGAACCGCTTCCGGTACATCTCCGGAGTCAGCCGGAATGAGTGGAGAACCGCATTCTTAATCGCGTCATAACTAGTACACTCCTCTAGGTCCAGCATGTTATAGGCTTCCCGGGCCTCACCAGTCAACCTGCCCTGGACCAGAGCAGCCCAATCATCTTCCGGCCACTCCTTCAGAGTTGCTATCCGTTCAAAGTGTTCGAAGAACGCCTCAGCTTCTTGTGGTTCGAACGTAGGTAAGTCACGTTCCCTTACCTTGAGGTCATCCCGCCGTGCAGGTAGTGAGGGCAGACCACGTTCAACGCGACGCAATTCGACTTCTTTCTTTGCCCTTATCTCCTCCAGTCGCAGTTGTCTCTCTCCTTCTTCCCGCTGCAGCCGAGCTTCTCGCTCCTCTCGCTGCAGCTCAGCCGCACGTTCCTCTCGCTGCAGCTCAGCCGCACGTTCCTCTCGCTGCAGCTCAGCCGCACGTTCCTCTCGCTGCAGCTGCAGCCGTGCTTCTCTCTCCTCTCGTCGCAGCTGGGCTTCCAGTTGCATCTTCATTATTTCCAGTTGCAGGCTCCTCTTACTACAGCTGGACCTTCCACTGCTCCCATGTTCACTGTGAATTCTCTCCACACTGGTAGGCGCTTGGGGAGGCCCTAGTCGGGACGGTTCACCTTGCGACGGCTCTCCTCGGGACGGCTCCTCTTGAGATGGCTCCTCTCCCGTCGCTTCCTCTCGAGCTGTGAGCTGTGCCATGATCTCTATCCTTCGCTCCGCTACCTTAGTCGTCCTCAACCTGATCCCAAAGTGGTTTGCCACTTGTTGGAGCTGGGCCTTGGTACACTCCTCCAAAATTCTCTCGTCCCTTGTGTCAATAAATTTCTTTACTTTGTCTTCCTCCATCTCTATATCATCAAGCATACACGACGGCACAGACAAGTTAGTAGGCACTAATTTCACCGTTTCAGTCCCTTAGCCGGTTGAGTAACAGTACCACCGAATTCACTGGCCACACTGTATTAGTACCCTGGCAACACTTGTCTTGAAATTTGGTCCACACTGTAGCTTGATCCACGCTTCCTGGCGAGGTTCCCAGTTCTTGGCTACCGGGGTTCGAATCCTGGCAAGGTCGCCAGTTCTCTTGTCACGTGGGGGTGGGCGGTCCGGGGCTCTGCTAACACTCGGCTGCTAGGGGCTCAAAAGGCCCAAATACTCAGCCCCTCCGACTCCCTGGATTCACCGGAGTCTCCTTGGTCACACAAGATAGGACCAACAATGCCCACCTCCGCAGGTCTTTGCTTCCACCACAAAGGGGTGCCACTGATTCACCCTGGAAGCCCTTCAGTCAACCACGGGGAAACTGCTGTTAACAGTTCCGGCCTAGACCCGTGGGGGAGTGAAGGAAGACTCAGGCTTACCTATAACCATAACCTCCCTGAGTCTTGCCTGCCAGACAAAAAAAAAAGGTTGCAGGAACTCCTTTCCCGCCTGTCTTCTCTATCTTCCTCTTAGCAAGGTCGCCAGCTGGGTTATTATATCTGCACCCCAGCAATGCAGTTCAGTGGGTGTATTATATATCGTTTGTAGCCAGAAATGTATGCTCATAGAGAAATATCACAAATGGAGGCGCACTCAAACACAGTAATAAAATGTGTGGATTTACTGACGCAAATTACATGAACACACACACACAATCACAAGTAATACATGAATATGGAATATGGATGATGAGTCTGGAGATCGTCAGCCTCTTCTTCCACGACCATCCAACGCTCCTTCTACTGGGCAGGAAGACAGGAGTCTCACACTCTCACAGGAGGGCCTCTTCACCACGTCGGCACCTCTTCTTCACTGTCCTGCCATCCATACACAATGTCCTCTCTGACAGTCCTGGACACAAGCTGCCTTGCAGCCTACTCTACTATTAAAGTAATAAAGTCTTGCTGCCACATACACGAGTAAATATTGTGGCCTAACTAGCCTACTCATACAAGGGGTAATGGGAGGGAAAATGATCTACCTTACACTCCTGGCTCACGACGCCTGTCCCTCGATGGTGTGAGGTTCCCACGCTTCCTTGGGTCGATCCTCGACGATCCAGGGCGTTCCACAGGTCCTCAGGTGTCGTGAAGCCTTCGCGTCGTCGCCGTTCCAATCCCTGAGATTCAGCTGCCCCAATCCTGGTTCATCGATGGGCGCTGAGCTAATCACTATCTTTCCCCACACTCGCCTCTCCCACAGGGCGTCGCTCCTTGTCCTAGGCACGGTGTCGTCCTTCCAAGATTCTCAGTGGATGTGACCCCAGTCACAGCTAGCTTGCTCGCCCACCTTCCAGACCTCAACGTCCAGCCAGCGGCGCCGCCCAGCGTCGTCGCCGACTATTTTCCAAGTTTGGGCACTTCTCTGCTCACTGAACTTGGTTCCTCTTTGGCTTCCCAGAAGCGCAGGGTCTCCAATAACTATGGTGGGCAACGAAGGCCAGCTCAATCCACTGAACAAGGCTTGCAGAGCCTCCAATCCTTGAGAGCAGACCGAGGCGCGTCCTGTCGCTTCCACGGTCAGTACAACTCTGACGTTGGCGCCGCCCGGGGCACTCGGTGACGTCATGGCGGGCCCTGATTTGTCGCCCGCGACCTACGTCGGCCAATCCGCGATTGGCATAGTGTCCCTTCCACAAGGTCATATCTGCCGTAGGGGATACTGTTTCATTTTATATCAGGGCGCCAACTTTCCTTTATTTACAACATATAATATAACCTCATTCCATTAAATGGCAGCCGGTCTGGTCGCCACATATATCATTAGACTCCCTGAACCTCAGAGAATCAGTAGGGAGAGCTGATATGACTCTTTAAGCCGGCAAACGAAAGAAATAGGAGAGGGCACCGTAACAACTTTTTTTTTTTTTCTCTGTCTGCTAACTTAATTTTTTTTTTTTTTTATGATACTAATAGCCCATTTTCTATGATTTCAGCTTACAAGGAACGGTGGTTTAAATTAAAAGCTAATTTTCTCTTTTACTACCGCTTGAACGAGTTTGGTGGAGTTGATAAGAATGAGGTGAGTATTTTGAAGGTGACCAAACCTTTTTTTTCTTTCTTATTTTTTCTAAATTTTTGCCATAATATTGTGAAATATAATACTGTACTCTTGATTTAATTATACTCTTATTTAAAAGTTTTCTTCAATATGTCAGTTCCTCTTAAAAAAATGTTTATCTTAAATTACTGTACTTATTATTTGTTTAATTTTTTTCAGTAATTGAGATGTTTTCATTGCATTATTACATGTTAATTATCTCTTACTAATTGTACTGAATTTATGTACATAGCCTTCTAATACATCAGTGCATGTAGTAAAGGTGAAGTATTGCTTTTGTGCTAGAATTTTAATGGAAATGTAGTATTGAACTACTGCACAATGTACTGTCCATGTTTTGAGTAATGCTGTCCTGAAATTACAGTATCTGATTGATGGTCCTATTATTCTGCTACACTCACCCTAGAACCTTTGATGGCCCTGTTACTCTGCATGTCACCCTAGAACCATTAATGGTCTTAATATTCTGCTAACACACTGTAGAACCATTGGGGGTCCTGTTATTTTGCTACACTCACAATTTAGAACCATTTTCTCTGCATCTATACTGTCTTGTAAGAATTCTGTTCTCTGTTCGGCCATTTTTCTCTTTCTGTCGTGTCTCATAAGCCATTCTGCCTTTATCCTTTTTTTCCCACAATTTCTTTTTATAAGTTTGCTTCATTATCGCTGTGTTCTTGATTATGATTGCATGCAGCTGATAGTTGCTGTACTCCTGTGGTAGCCAAACCAGTATGTATATTTCCTTAACCAATATATCATGGTCTTTATCTGAAGTCTAAATCCTATCCTGATATTAACACCTGGAATGACATTTCCAGAGGGAACAAGGCATCAAAGATGTAAACAAAAAATTCTAGCGTTATGGAAATATGCAAGGTCAATTTGCATGGAAATATTTAAATGTGTGTATGAATACTAAAGAGAGAGAATTCTGAGCAGTAAAGGATTTTAAATAGAAGATATCCAAAAAGATTGAAACAAAATTATTAAATAGTTCACAAAATATATGTAGATTTATAAGATTTTAATGTAGAATGTTTCAAAATATGGTTTTTTCTAATCTTTCTAAATGCCTTAAATCTTTTCCAAATGGGAGGCCTGTAGACTTTCAAATCCATACTGGAGAGGCTGATAAACTAGACAATTTCCCTTTCATCCTTGAGCCCTATCCTAAAATTACAATTTTCTGCCTCCCATTCTCTCTTACCTTCCCTTTATATCTTTTGTTCACAATGTTCAAAACAAACTTGAATGCAAGTGCGTAGCGCAAGTCTTTTGGTGTTTTCACAAATGTGTGTGTTGCCATTTCCCAGGTTCGTGTAGTCATCAGACATAAAAATTTATTTATAAATTAATGTAACAGACAGTATGATGGTGATTTTCTATTTCAGCCAAGTGGTGTTTTTGTTCTAGAAAACATTGAAGTGCTGAGGGAAGAGGATGTTGATGCACCATTTGGATTTGTAATTAAATGGAAGGTAAGGGAAGTATTTATTTGTTTAACATATGACATTTTTAAATGTGAGGGGTATTTCATTGAACAAAAATAAATAAAAGAGCCTTAAAACTTACCACTTTGCAATATGTAAATTAATACCAATGATGCCTTGGCTCGGTTGTGAATTTCCATTGGGGCTGTTCATGACAGTGGCTTCCAACCCTCTAAATCTTACTGAAATACAAAATCTGATCCAGCACTTATCATTATCACTTAACTCTTAATTATATTTGTATTGATATGAGGCTGTGTTGGCATTATTAGTCAAAGCCCTATCTCACAAACTGATATAAACACTTGTTCAGAATTGGAAATAATATTTCCAAGATGTAATCATTCATTGTTTTTCCACTGGCTATAAATTGCCATTGGAATTTAGTTTGATTTTTAGTAGTTTAGCTTACCTGTACATCTTTATTGCATTTTTGCACTTGAAGTTGTAATCTTTTTCTCCTCCTAGAGATGGAGTACAGTATGATGAGGTGAGGAAAGGTGTGGGAGAATTTACAGCAATCTGTCATGTAGTGACGGCCTCACCCATGAGCACCGCAGGCTAAAAGATCTTAGTTCAAACCCATGACAGTGTGTGATGATTAGGCACTGTGTGCATCTGGCCATCTAGTAATAATTGGGGACCTGTTTGTAATATGATTAGTGGATTGTATTTTGTGGGAAAAAAAAAAAACAGTAGTGTAAGGTTTCTGATACACAGTGTGAAGGAGAACTCATTGCCTGCAAACATGAATCAAAAGACTTGTACTGTACTTTATGTCCTATAAAGTGAAAGTTTAAATGCTGGGTGATCTCTATTTCATTCAGTCTTGTAACTGACATCTTCTCTGCCATCAACTGGTATCTACACCACCCTATTCTCCACATTCACAGGGTGGGAGGCACTAACTTGGAAAGTATAGAAGAATTGTGCTTGAAAGCAGGGATAAAGATATTATAAAGGCTTGAAAAATAGCCAAGCTTCAATCCAATGTAAGACAATAAAATAGAAACAAAGATGATGTATATCAAATTCAGAATTGTTTGTATGCTTCATTGCTCACTCACCTAAACTGGTCAGTAGAGCAAAGGCCTTGTCTCTGGTATGGTTGGCGTGAATTTAATATTTATTATTGTGAATTTATTATTTTCTCGACAGGATGATCCAGAACGTAAACATCTCTTTTTTGCTCAGTCGGAGAACAGTGTTCATTCATGGATAAACAAAATAATACATGCAAGGTTAGTGCCTCATGTTTTCATTGTGTGATTTGCTAGTCCAAATACAGTGGAACCACGGTTTTCAAATGCCCCTGTTTACGAAATTTCCGGTTCTCGAGCTCAATTTCTTAAAAAAATTGACACGGTACTTAAAGTTTGCCTCGGTGCTCTAGGTTTGTTGATACACGTATGGGCTGACCAAGCACATGGGACATTTCAGTTTACCAGTGTTTTCCCTCTAGTGACGACAGCGTTTGAATTCTTTATGAAGAATTTTATTGTTTTGTGCTTTTTTGGTTTCTGAACATAAAAGTTCTTATTACTGTATATCTCACGTCATCTCGGGTTCCAAGAAAGTCGGTGGTAAAGTTCAGATTACAGTACTGTATTGCATATATGGAGGCCTTTATGTAATGTGTGAGATATACATTTTCATTATGTAAGCCAACTGAACTGTATGAAATATTTATATAAATATAGCAAACTTGTGGATCAAAGTTAGAAAATGATTTTTACTGATGCAGTATTGTAATATTTTATGATTGTTAATATACCATGTTTTTTCTTACTTTATAACTGGTTCTAAAAATTATATGTTTTTCTTATCTTCCAGTTATGAACACATGAGAGCCCAGTTGATCATGTTAAGGGTCCAGATAAGAAGAAAGACTGGCGCAGTAAGTTCAAGATAAAAAAAAATTCACAGTATACACAGTTCCAAGAGAAGTTGAAAGACTTGTATTAATATTAATGATTACAAAAAGCTTGCATGAGCTTATAGATTAAATTAAATTTAGTATTTTTCTTGTTGGATATCCATAATGCCTTTATAATTTGTAATTTAATTATATAATTTAATTTCTGAAATTATATAATTTCATAATTTCTGAAATATATAAAATTGACTTTAATAATTTGTTTTGAAGTCATTCGCAAGTTGACCGTAGCATTTTAGTAGAGAGTTTCGTAGACTATTTATGGAAATTGGAGCGTGAATCAGACGAAAAAAAATAGCAAGGTGTTTCAGAAGCAGCAGGAGGATTTGTTAACAAATCTAAATGGAGTAATCAAAGGTTGTATATGAATAATGCAACCCACTTTCTCTTGTGTTTAATTCCTGTCTAGGATGAGACATTTGGACATTCAGTATTTTCTTACTCCTAATGTCTCACTTCATTTATCATTAAATAGGTACCTGGAATTTAGACAAGTATTGTACTGTATTCATAAAAATTACAGCACACAAATATGAAAATATAAAGGTACAAGTACTGTATGTTTGTATACATGTAATAATTGTAAAGCTCATCATATGCAAGTGATCAGAGAAGTGAATCAACAATATTTGTTGTGTAATACTGTACCAGTAAAAGGCTGGAAGGTTTCAGGCTGTGGATAGTTATAACTACCATAATAAGTTTTATGATTAACAATTCTACCAGAAGAACTTAAATTGGCAAATATAGATCCACTACACAAAAGTTTAGTGGATCTATATAGCAAAGCACCGACTTAAAACTAGACTGGTCACACTAACATCACACATAATTAAAGATTTTGAAAGCACGATTAGGAATGAAATATCCGGTTTCATGGTGAATACTGCACTTCACAATCCAGGTCAATATGAATTTAGAGTTGGAAGATCCTGCCTTCTGTAATTTTTCTACCACTATGACAAAATCATGGAAACATTAAAAAGAGAAACAAAATGCAAATGTTGTATTCACGGACTTTGCATAGGCACTCGATAAATGTGATCATGTAGTGATAGACCACAAAATGAGAACAATAAGATGATGGATGTTATATTTCATGTATAGCAGAATGCAAAGATTACCATTAATCTAACAAAATAAAAGTCCAAGCACAGTAAAAAGCTCTGTACCCCAGGGTACTGTCCATTCGTATATCAGATACCTGTACTGCACATTAATATTATTCATATGTCCTTCATCTTATTCAAATATATGTGCCTGGATGTTTCATGTGCAATCAAACTTCTTTGGTCTTGGATATCTTTGAGAACATTTCTCTGTGTATTGGATATCTTTCTTAATTGCCCATACATGATAATATCATGTGCAATATTATCTAGTTATTATTCAATTTTTTTTTTAAGATGTGCTTGAGAATAATAGTGCTAATGGATATGTCAGCTTGTGGGATAGGCACTATCATGTCCTTATCAGGGATTATCATTCCCTTCCTGATTACACCACTGTAACCTTTGAAAATATGTTACATCGTATATTACAAGGATGCTAATTGTTTTGCAGGACCCCCTAGAGCATTTTGGTTCCCCACTACCTCAGCGTGCATCACGGGCCATGATGTCTCCAAGCACTCAGTTTCATATTGACCTTGAGAAACTTAGTGTGTCTCACTCACAAGCCAATCATACTTCTTCAGCACCATCTAGTCCTAGTACCTACCATTCTTCAAAAAAGCCTCCTGGCAGTCCCTCCAGATACAGTCTTCCATCAAAAAGTCCAAGTATGAAGTTAAAAATTCCAAAGAGTCCATCTTTCATACATCCAACCCGTAGTGCTCCTGTTGCTCCACCTAGAAAGGGAAAGAAGCAGAGTCGTGAAAATGGGTAAGGTTTTCCTCTTGGTCCCTGATGGCTTATCTGTTGATATGGCAAACTAATATTGCTGTCTATAATATAAAACTTGTTAACAATTTTGATCTATTTATATTTTTGCTTTCCAGCCTTCATAATACAGTAAACAAAACGTGCAGTACTACCATCATGCTAAATTGTAATGGAAATACCTAAATATACTTTGAGTTCTGCTAGTTCTTTGATTGGATTTACAGCATTGTGGAGAAAAAGTGCATGTATGTACAAATTAGGTCATGATGTACATGCATAAAATATTTAATTATGTAAATGATAACAGAAGAAAGGTAATAATTACTAGTGGTTAAATAATACTCTGTAAGATTGTCCCAAACAGCGTTGGTTCATTATAGTTCTGTTTACACAATGAAATCACAATAACATGATATATCCATGATATATCTATGATACATCCATAGAGCTGTATGTTCTAGAAATGTCTTTGCATAAAAGAAGAAATGCTGTTTAGTACAGGGAATATTGTGTGTGTGTGTGTGTTAGACAGGAGTGTACATTCTAACAACTGATTTGCATTTATCGAGTTCTGAATTCAACCTATCAGACAGACATAAACATAGGATTGCAGTAGTCAGTGACCATCAGTGTCTTGCACTTAGCGGTGTACAGATCCCCATATCCTTTGGTATAAAAGGAGAAAGGAAATTGCAGGCGAGGAGTCACAATAACGTGCCTAAAGTATGTTGACCAGACCACACACTAGAAGGTGAAGGGGCGACGACGTTTTGGTCCATCCTGGACCATTCTCAAGTTGATTGTGAGTCCATTCACAATCGACTTGAGAATGGTCCAGGACAGACCGAAACATTGTCGTCCCTTCACCTTCTAGTGTGTGGTCTGGAGAAAGGAGATTGTCATATTAACATTTTGGTGAATGGCATATGGTGCATTTCACTACTCTTTTTCTGTTTGTATGTATGTTCTGTTTTACCTTATGTTTATATTTGGTAATGTTTACTGATTAAGCTGTTATTCATTCTCACTTATTGATGTGTGTCATTGTTATAGCCCAATTATCATTTGGGGATTTATTGCCAAGTGTAACTTAAGCGCTCCTTTAACCCTTAAACTGTTCCATTCACTATTTGTGATTACCTCGGAGCCGGTCGGCCGAGCGGACAGCACGCTGGACTTGTGATCCTGTGGTCCCGGGTTCGATCCCGGGCGCCGGCGAGAAACAATGGGCAGAGTTTCTTTCACCCTATGCCCCTGTTACCTAGCAGTAAAATAGGTACCTGGGTGTTAGTCAGCTGTCACAGGCTGCTTCCTGGGGGTGGAGGCCTGGTCGAGGACCGGGCCGCGGGGACACTAAAGCCCCGAAATCATCTCAAGATAACCTCAAGATAACCTCCTGTGCTTGAATCACCATATGCAATTTTTTTACAATTACTATTTTTTGTAATGTGTTCATTGATGCAGGACTTTTAAGTAGGTGAGGCATTTAAGAGTTAATATTTTTGAATGTTTTGAAGACATTTGAGAAAAAAAGAAATTTTTTACTCTTTGCAGACATGTGGTGGTAGAAGAATTGATACCAGGAGTTGGGTGCAATAAAGCCTCATTCAAGTGTCACTTGACAGAAGGATGTTCTCCAAATCAGCAACCCAGTCTGCTTGACTGATTGCTCATTCTGGTAGTTAATTATCATTGACCGAGTTTCACGTAAGCTAATTTGGTTTTGCAGGAATCTCTCCATTTGTTAGTTTGAAGATATACCTGACAGGCATATCTGTGTTTGTTCATATTAATTGAAAAATGTACTGTTTACCATATGTGTGAATTTTTTTTTTCAAGTACTTTTTTGTTATACCGAGCACAGTGCATTTATTTACTAATCATGAATGATTTTTATATTTTTTATTACAGAGCTGTACTGTTTACATGAGAACCATATGTTATGAATGATTGTTTTTAAGGAATGTTTTAATTATTGTTCATGTTGTCCATGGTTCTAGAAAAAAAGTTGGTTCATAGTCTCAGTTACTCAGCTGATAAAAGCTTTGGCAGCCCATTAGAGATTATCGTGTGCTTTCCCTGCATTTAAAACTGAAAGAATCTTTTATGAAATAATTGTTTTACCTTTATGAAATTTTATTTATCTAGTTCCCATCTCATAGCAAGAAGGGAATTTTTTCTTGGTCTTTCTCAACTTCGGTACTGTGCTTACTTTATTAATGATTATTGTATATTTTGTATAACATTATTATTATTCTTGATAGAATGCCTGCCTTCATACCATATCACATTTATTCCTTTTAATGTTCATCTTCATTTTGTGTTACTTTATAGAAAAAGTCGTCTTGAATATTGCATTCCGCCCAATGCTCTTAAGCGAGTGACTTGGTTAAGCTTGTACAGAAAAGTAAGGTCGAGTACAGAAAACCAACTCAATCCTGCCATAGCTTTTGGAACTTAAATAATAAGGAAAGCCATTATAATTAAAGGTCAAATACAATAAAAACAAATGTAACAAACTTGACTTCTATATGTTATAGCAATTAATATTTTTCTAACAATTAGTAGAAGTATCAACATTGTTTTTACTGTATACTGGTAATTTAGGTAGTTATATATTTTCACTCCAGTTTTGAAGTGGCGGCTGATAAGGGCACTAGTGTCATAGTATTGATGACATTTTAGTCAGCAAATGGCATTTGTTTGTTATCAGTTTATTCCATAATGCACTTTCGGTGTACTTTTAATCCCAATAGAGACAGCACAGTGTGTGAAACACACATGCCACTAACCCACACCACACAAGCACAAAAATGGATGCCCTCCCCCCCTATCCCACCACCACCACCACACAGTATCTCGTGCTGCTGATGCTCACAGGGTGGTAGACGGTTGGAACAAGCTAAGTGAGAAGGTGGTGGAGGCCAGAACTGTCAGTAGTTTCAAAACGTCAAACGACAAGATGTACTGGGAAGACGGGACACCACGAACGTAGCTCTCATACTGTAACTACACTTAGGTAATTACACACACCACACAAGACACAAAACATGTGGAGAGACACACACACACACACACACCCATATATATCGCCACCTTATGTTTCTTGCTGGGGTCTGATAGCCTACAACCTTGCAGTATGACAATGTGTACAGCTTTGTAACCAGGTCATGGGTTTACTGTTGCATGGTAATGATTTTTGGAAACCTCTTGGGACTCTTGTGATGTCAAGTGTGGTTGGTGATTGGCCAGTAGGGAAAAGGGGTATCCAAATTTTACAATCACAATGTAGTGCAAAAAACCATATTCCCTGTACTGTATTTACATTTGGCCATGTGATTGAGTTTTTTCTTTGATATGAGATCATGGCATTAGTTTTACTTCTAAAAAAAAATTCTACTTTGCATATGACCTTTAAACAAATTAAATGGAATTAGACATTTTTAGGGTTTTTAGAATATGCTGTATGTACAGTGAACAAATTCACAAGGGCCGTGACGAGGTTTCGAACCTGCGTCATCATCACTTGATGCATCACGCTATTGTGATTTCTGTATGTAATGAATTAAGGACGAAGAGGTAGAACGGCCTATTGACATAGCTCAAGTGCATGGGGGAATTGTGTAAAATCCTGGTTTGTGTCTCAGAGAGGCTGCAGGATCCAAGTAAATTCAGTAGAATTTCTGGTTGCTATTCTTTTACCATGTCGTAGCTCAGTTAATTAAGGCAGCGTCTGGGATGCTCTTTGACTCGGGTTCAAATCCTCGTCACAGCCCTTGTGGATTTGTTCATTTGATGCATCACACTATTGTGATTTCTGTGTGTATGAACAGTATTTTTATGTCCGATTACTTTTATTCCTTCCAATATTTTCCAAGGCTTAGCCTATCATCGTTAAAGACTGATGCTCTTAATTTAAATTTTATTATTTAATTCTCTTCATAAACATTGTATCCTAAATCCTATGGTTTCAATGTGGTAAGCTACTAGCTTATCTAGACTGGAAAGGGTATCTAGTCATATGAGATTAACAAAAGCTGGAGTAATAATAATAAAGTTGTTTTTTTTTCCACATGTTTTCAGTAATTAAAAAATAAGATTATTGTATTTTGTAAAACTTGTAATAGAATACCATGCTCTTTTAAAGTGACCCTTTGGCTGTGTATTTGCATTTGACATATGGTTGGCCAAGTTATGTCATTTGCCGTTCAGAAACGATACTCTGTTTCTCACTTTTTTGTTACATTTCTAGTAATACGACCATTGTAGAATTGTAATGATCTGGCTTAGCACTATTGCCACCATGCGAGAGCACATGGTGGTTAGTGGAGGCATTTTTAAGGGTTTGGAATATTGTTGAATGTCACCTGGCAAGATGCATTTTTCCACGAAGTTGACTAAAATTGATTGTTCTAGCAAAAGTGAATTGTTTGTGCTTCAGATGAAGTCTAATGTTGCAGCCAGAGGGTTAAAGATGTTTGTTTAGTTGATTTGGGCATAGATTTCATTTTATAGTATTCTAAGACAAACTATGCTTTAAATACGTAGAATTAAGGTACAGTAATATTATTAGGTAATAATAGGTTTCCCAGGAATGGATTTAGTAATGTGATGTATATGTCAAAGACACTCCAATACTTTCAGGGAATGGAGTGTTTACAGAAACATTCTGTATTGGCATCCTGAATGAGATCATGGAAATGTTCAGTATTCTGTGACAGACTGTGCTACATAGTCTTCCAGACTTGGCACCTTCCTTTAATAATTACTTACTTTAGAAGGATTTGATAAACATAAGCATGCTTATCATTGTATCACATGAAATTCAATTATGTTACAGTATTATCAAAATGAAATCTACAGAATCGAAATGCTCTTTCCAAAACGAAGTATATTTTTCCTTCACAACATATGTAATGGGAAAAATAATTTAGTTCACTATTGTGATAATGAAAAAATAAATATCTGCTCAGTGATAATGTATATGCAATAGTTGTAGTAACTGAAGTGCCATGAATATATACTATGTTTGCAATATTTTCTTTAAATATTTTTAAAAAAGAAATTTATCTACTAAGAGGGGGATTTTTTTTTTTTTTTTAAAGAAGTAGCAAATGAAAATCTATGAGAGATAAATACTTACCATAGTTGCCTATATAATTGATGCCATTGATTGTGCTACTTATTTGTACAAAATATTGGCACATAATAATTGATAATATCTGTTCATGGGGATTTAATAAGATTAATTTTTAATGCAACCTCTTCTCAAACCCCCAAATAATACTTTTGCTGTAACGGTTTGCAATCGAGCTGATTCCTGAGCTTTGTTTTACTAATAAGTTTTTATCATGTGTTAAAATAGACTCGGCCTGTATGAAGGATAACCTAAGTGTCAAAATTGGATGAAGTTCACATACATTTTAACAGAAAATATTTCAATGCAAGAAGTCATTGACTGTGTGCATTAGTAAATTGAGGCATAAAATGTGCTTTAAAAGGTGACTTGCATAGGTAATCTTCATAGGCCAGTAGCTTCATGGAAGTAATATAGTTTAGTTAAAATTTAATTTAGAATGGTATTCTACACTTTAGAGGACATTATTTAATAGGAGCATTAATAGTAGCTAAGCTCCACTTAATAACTCTTAGACTTAATGTCTTACAGTAGTACAGATTGTGCGTGTATTTTGAATAGGTCGTAAGTGCTAAATGTAAACCTCTTGTTGTGACATATGGATACTGTATTTTAAATGTATTTCATAATGTCTATATGTATTGAAATGCAACGAATATCACATGAAAAGAGAATTCCTCCATATGTCTCATAGTGTTTGTTGTATGATCTCATATTATGATTCCTGTATGATCTCGTATTGAGACCATTTTGAAGGTACTGCAAGTTTAACTGCAACGAAGAAATTTTATAATAAGAATATAGTTTACACTGTAAAGGATGAGTGATAAATGAGGATTTAAAGCCTTTTTATAGTTACATTTACAGTCATAATATTAGATTTTAGAAGCACAATAAGTGCCTTGAGAATTGTTTTTTATTAATACATGTAATTGAAAACCATGGTGTGGGAATTAGAATACATTAGTATCATGATGTAATGTGCTATTTGATTTAGGCATTCCCTGTACTTGTACAAATTGTACCTCAGATTTTAACAATGAAATTTAGTTCAATCTATTCTCAATTTTTTTTTATATATATATATATAAAATTTGGTGCAAATATTATTTCTCTTGATCTCCAAGACTGTTTGTTAACATAGTGCATAATTTATTTACGTCTCAAGTTAACTACATTTTCTGCTTTCTAAACGTATGCATCAACATAAAAAAAGTTTTTTTCACAAATGTTTGTGGTGCTAAAAGAGAGGATACATGAAAAGTTTCTTGTGATGTAAATGTTGACAGTATTTAAGGGGCTCATGTTTTTTTTTTTGTTTTTTTTAATTATGACACTGAGGTCTTATGAAATCCTTTTCATTTGTATTTTAAATAGTTATTATTTGGCAAAGATTTGATTTACCCGAATTTACCCGAGGCCCACTAACACCCTAATGAACTTGACGAGGACAGGGAGCCAGGAGCTTGTCAAAGGTGCCCCCCATTTGTCCTGTTGATTTTTTCTAGCTGGATTATAAAATTCAACAGAGTTTTGGCATTTATGGGTAGAACTATGCCTATCCACAGAACTGCTTTCTGTGGGTAGGCAGTTCCATGAGTTTATAACCCTGTGGGTCAAAAAGTATCTCCTGTTTTCAGTCCTACTTTGTGGCATTTAGTATTTTTCGTAACTATTTATTGTTTTGTATTGTATTAGGAGTAATTGGAAAAATTGTCATGTGTTGAGAGGGATAATAAGCATTTACTGAGGAGGGTAAAATTGCACATGTTATCGAAAATTTGAAATGTTATGGGAGTGCAAGGTATGCTAAAAGGGGAATTACCCCTTACCGTTTATATTAAGAATTAAGAGTGTTTGGATTCCATTTAGAGGATTAATAGATGACTCTTAACTCTTCTTGTTAGTATGATGATGATAGTATTCTAGGATAGCTAAAGTGGGACAGGTTAATTTAAATGGAATGTGCCCACAACTAACCTCCCTTAGGGGTGCATTTCTTGCACTAATGCTCAAAATTCCATATTTCCTCTATACAGTAAGACAAATATTATAGCATGGTACAAGTATCATAAAAAGTCATCCTATGAGTCTGTATTGATGTATTTTAACATAAAAAAGCATGAGCCCCAAAGGTCTTAGGAACCCGTGGAGAACTTCCTCCTATCTTGGCACTTTACCTTGATAATTACATACATTTTGCATTTAATTATTTGTAAAGCAAAAAAAAAAAGACAGGATTTAATCCATGTTTTGAACCATGTACAGAAGGAAGTACAATTTTTTTTTTTTTTTTTTTAAATTGCAAGCCCATTTTGTAGATTTTTTAAAGCATACTTAAAAGCGTAATATGGGATAAAAATAAGTACAAAAAAGAAAGGTTCTTATTTTGAATGTAAATGCTAATGTCTTATCGTTTTTGTAGTAAAACTAGTCATGAAATGAGGACTGGTTGTTCCAGTTGAACAGAGCACATTTCATATGTGAGGATTAAAGTAAAACAATATTTTAAGTCTCGTGTTATTTTCACTAACTCAAATTGTTTCATTTGTAACTTAAGTGTATTGAAATTGGGTTTTTAGAGCACCGGGCTTTAGTGTGATTGAAATTTTAAATTGAAATATTATGTAAATCTTTTATGTGTGAATGAAAACTTTGCACAATTGTATTATTGTACATTACTTGTGAATGAGAGTGATACACAATTGTATTACTATGCAGTACTCATGAATGAGAACATTACACAATTGTATTCTTTGTTCTGTATTCTTATTAATGGCTATATGACCATGTTTTCAGATGTAAGATAATAATATTAGCTAAAGAGATGTTCTGTGCATTGTTAATGCATGGTGTAAAAAAACAAAAATTATATCTAAAGAACAGTAATAATGAAGAATGTTCTTTGTGGAAGCTTGTTTTCAAATCCCAGATATAGATTTAAATTGCACAAGAGATAAATTGAATGCAGTGTGTTTAATACTTTTCGCAGGTTAAACAAAATATAATAAGTGGCCATTTGGTGTCTTGCATGGTAAACTAAAGTGTTTCACTAAAATTAGAGTAACATACTGGGCATTGGAACGCACAAAGAAATAATACATCAGCTTGTTCCCACAAGTCCTGCCACATTACCCTCTTCTGAGCATGATAATTTCATAGGAAGTTACTTCAAGACGATTTACATTTGACTTGTGAGTAACTTCATCATTAATTGTATGTAAGTATGTAATCTTTCATGTGTAAGTGTGAGAATTTGAGATTAGTGGGGGGGGGGGGTTTAACCAAGAAATGTTAAAATAAAAGAATTAATGTCTCATCTCTACAAGATAATGTCCCACTGAAAAACACTTTATATTACCCATTTTTCAGAAGGGTAAGAAAAAAAGACACAAATACTAATACAAGTGATAATTATAAAGCAAATTTATATAATAAACTTATACCTGTATTGATTTTTTTTTATAGCACACATGTCTTACCATAGTATATATACTACAGCAGTGCTCTAATTTATGCATATGCTACCCAATACATTTCATTCATACATCTGATCTGCGTCTTACTCTTTGGTCCGAGGAGCTTCATGATCCACTCTCAACTGCTATATAGTCTAATGGCTTGGAGCTTTTCCCCTGATAGTTCCCCTCCCTTCCATATTAGTTTGTTTATTCCTCACTGTCCCTTAAAAATAGAATAAATTTAGATGGCAGTTGAGAGCGGATTATATAGCTCCTTGGACCAAAGAGTAGGACGCAGATCAGGGAAACCCTATTTTTTTGTATTACGCTGTTGAAATGTTCTTGAAAGTAGTAAGGAGGCTTTGGAGCCTTGAGCAGCTGTCATGGCTTCCGTGATAAAACAGGCGATGCTCAGTAGTATTTTTTTGACTTGTCTTAATGTTCAGTATGTACTAAGTGCCAACTTTTTTTTTTCTTTTTTTTACACCTGAATATCCCATACTTTGTTTAACTTATTGGATCTTTCTGCAACAAACTTAAGTGTTCATGCCATCACAAGTGGCACAATTACTGCAAAAAACAATCCATCAGAATCTTTCATAACAACGAAAACCTCTGCTTCCCTTAGTAACAGTTGGAAAGGTCGATGTCTACTTTGATATTGACCTCCTTAATTATAATAAGACAATAATATAGTTGGGTCACAAATGTGGTTTTAATACTTAATTTATCACTCAGGTGATGCTAGTGTTATAGATTATTTGAAGTTGCACATAAAGCTGATATAATCTGCATGCATTCACTTTTTTTCAACAACTTACAGACTGACATGCTAATACTGTACCAGTATAGGGATGATCATCTTTCTAGCCTGTTTCTGTCGAAGACAAAGATGTCAGATTGTCAAGACAATATTAACACTATTTTAGAATAGCAAAGGTGACCCATGTTGACATTCATACCTAGCTAATCATGACAAACAAACTTGAATTAATAATGACAACCCGAGTGATATACAGGTATGGAAATTTTCAACTCGTTTGAGACATTCATATACACTATTGCTATTCAGTCTTATACCGGCATAGGTCTTTAATTATCTGTTACAGACAGGACTAGATATTCATGGAAATAAGCACTGGCTTCCAAAGCATGAGAGGTTTGATTTAAACGATAAGGATTTATTGTTTAATGCATAATAAATGATGGATGGTGATATAGTTTGACATGATGATGGTTTATTTGAAAATATTTACATAACTTTACAGGTAAACAAAAAGGTATTGCAGTTGCAATTTTTAACAAATGGAAATACCTCTTCTCACTTACTAAAAAAATAAAATAGCAAAGAGTTAGTTTTACAGTTTAGCAGATTTTATCAACTTAGGCTGATATACAGTACATTTAATCTTTTCAACTGTTTAAGACAAAATAACATTCTCGAGTACAACAGAGACTTGAACTTCCTGAGGATACATATTGATTCAATTACCTAACAATAATTACAGAAGACAGGCTTCATGACCACATAATCATTAGCAGCAATAATAAAATTCAGCCGACCAGTGGAAACTTGCATAGTTGCCAATATAATTCGGAAAGAAATTTTACATGCCTGCAAGCGTTAATGCTTATGAAATGTATTTTTATTCCAGATTTAAAGTCATTTAAAGATCTTAAAATATATCTGCACGTGTAATGAGAGAATAGGCCGTGACATATCTTGCAAGAATCAGAGTAACTAATGAGTGATATGTAAACATGTGCATAATGTATATTATATATTTACAGTATTTTACAAGCCTTAATTTGCTTCTGACCCCATGATTCTTGATAATAAAGGTAATGTGATCAAACACAATGTGTGTGTGTGTGTGTGTACAGGGATCAATCAGTATATGGGCAATTGAATGTGTTTGAAAAGTTAGTTCGTGCACACACGTATACATGTAACATGGTGGTTAACTTTACATCTAGTACAATACTTGTATAATAACGTGCGTAACGTCAAAATATACTAAGTATTTTTATGGGAGTTTGCATGAGGCCGCTGACCTCTATTTCTTGTAGTACTTGTTATATACGTAGACTCCAGCAAAGGTGAGGCCAATGGAGATGACCAGCATGGAGCATGCCAGGCCTGCCATGTCACCTGAAGTGGAAGGGAGAGGAGTAGTAGTAGGCATTAGGAGAGTATCACTTCAAATTTATCATCACCTCATAACACCTTTCTTGGGTCACATCTCTCACATTACTTCATCTCGAGCTGCTCAAGATGATTATCTTTTGCATCATCTTTCATGGCACATCCCTCATATCACATTCCTGTATGCCCGCTTTCTCATATGATCTCATCAAATGTAAACTCATTTGTCACTTCATTCATGCCATTGCACAGAGTATGTCATTAAACACCAAGGAGAAAACTACTTTAGATATACATTGGCTAAAATAATTTAAATGCCTACTATTAATGACGTCGATTGAGAGCCAATATGAATGAATGTCAACTGCATATACAAAGACCAGCAAAAGCATGTACACACAAGGAGGTATTAAGAACAAGAGGAGCTGATGTTATCCAAAGGGACACGTGAAAGTTGGTTGTATCCTAGCAAAGGTCAGTGGTTGGCCTAGGAGGAGGATCTTAGCAAGGGTCAGTGGTTGGCCTAGGAGGAGGAGGATCCTAGCAAGGGTCAGTGGTTGGCCTAGGAGGAGGAGGATCTTAGCAAGGGTCAGTGGTTGGCCTAGGAGGAGGAGGATCCTAGCAAGGGTCAGTGGTTGGCCTAGGAGGAGGAGGATCTTAGCAAGGGTCAGTGGTTGGCCTAGGAGGAGGAGGATCCTAGCAAGGGTCAGTGGTTGGCCTAGGAGGAGGAGGATCTTAGCAAGGGTCAGTGGTTGGCCTAGGAGGAGGATCCTAGCAAAGGTCAGTGGTTGACCTAGGAGGAGGAGGATCCTAGCAAAGGTCAGTGGTTGACCTAGGAGGAGGATCCTAGCAAGGGTCAGTGGTTGGCCTAGGAGGAGTATCTTAGCAAAGGTCAGTAGTTGGCCTAGTAGGAGGACCTTGATGGTCCCCAACAATGGGAAACCATCTCTGTAGAAGACTGAAACAGAAAATCTTTGCAGCAGTGGTTAAAGGCCCAGAAATTGAGAGACCAATCAAAACGATAGTATTAGTCATTGTGGCACAATGTACAGTACCACATTGTGCAGTAATATACAATGTACATTAGGAACAATGTTCAGTACCACAATGAGAAAGAAAACAAGTCGGTTATAACACGTCTCCAGATTCAGATGTAAGGAAAGGCAAGATGGTAACTTAGGAGAGGAGGTAACAGATTCACTCATGTATGGTGACTGATTAATGTTTAAAACTGAAAGCCAATAGGCTCCTTACTGACTCATATTACCATTAGGTAATGACTGACTTGACCCATGGCTAACATAATGCCCTATTTATGTGTTAATAATCAAAATTGATCCATGCCTAACAGACTGATATGACCTGTGGTTAATAGGCTGACATGACCCATGCCTGCATACTGACATGGCTCACTGTTTGGCTAACAACTTACCTGACGACTACTTGTGACTTCTAACCTGAGTCATGGTTAACATTTTAACCTGACCCGCCACCATAATGACTGACCTGGACCGTAGATGTACTTGCTCGAGTTCTTTCGTTTGTTTGCGTGGGAGTCTCTGTCATCCCCCTCGTAATATTCTCCTGCAGGAGAAGCAAGTTAGTTCACCAACACATTTCTGCACCATCGAATCCCTACAGCAAACCTCCATAGGTGCACAGTCCTGAAGTCTCCTTAGTCAAACTCTTCAGGAAAACTTAATTATAAGTAAAGTCTGTAAGTCAAATTTTCCTTTATACTTTGAATTAAAGCAGATTTTAAATGGGAAAGCATCAGTAGAGCAAAGGTGGTAATTATATATATTTTGATCTTGACAAATGTAACTATATATCAGTAGGCCCTATAGTGACTTGGAACTGAAACATGCAATGAGTATATGGAGCTTGAAAAATGGCAAAAGTCAGAGTAAAAGCTCACTGGAATAGTGGTCGCAGGTAGGAGAGTTAGTGATGATCACCCCCGAGTCAGAATAGTGGGCCGAGGTGAGAAAGCAGGTAATGTCCCCGGATTCCACACAATAGTCGAACCCATTACAGCCGAAGTCCGGCTCATCCTCGCATACCTGAAGTCACAATACAATATCAGATAGATTATAACAACACCTGCATCCACAATACCAGCTGTATGACAATTACGCCAGCACCAACCATACAAGATGAATGGAAGCTACACCAGTTCCCACAAAGGCACATTGCCACTGCATAGAACAAGTAGTCTCCATATACACTTGCTCATTTATCACTAGTCAGGTATGTCATAGGCCAGAGAGGTGGATTTGGACCTCGGGAGGTGGGGAGAGTACTGACCTGGGCACACCGGGAGGTGGTTACAGCCTTGATATAGCGGTCACGGTTGCCGGACAATACCTGGTTTTCATGCTCGACGAAGTCCACGAGAGCATCACCTGCAGAAGGGAGGTAAACTCAAGTACAAATGAAGATAATAACTAATGACGTTCAAGCACTGCTTGAGAGAAATGTCATCTGATGCTCGGCCATAAATTTGTAACACAATATAAAAGAATAATCTAAAAATTTATAATATATTGGTAGAAGTTACAGCAGGATTTACCTAAAGGCCACTAACACACTAGTGGCCTCGACGAGAACATGAAGCCGGCGGCTTGTCAAAGGTTCCTCTCATTCTCCTGATGATTTTTTCTAGCTAGATTTTAAAATTCAACAGAGAGTTTTGGCATTTACGGCTTCTGCGGGTATGCAGCTCCTTTGGTTTATAACCCTGTGGGTGAAAAAACATCTCCTGTTTTCAGTCCTACTGTGTGGCTTGTTCAGCTTGAAACAGTTGCTCCTTGCTTATGTTACATCTGACCCTTTGAGCAAATTGTCCGGATCAACATCCTCCAATCTGTTGTTCAGTATTGTTATAAATTGAGGGCTGTACTATGGGGGATCTAGTATAAATGGATGTAGGGGCAGTAGTTAGCATTAAGAGTTATCAAATATGGGAGATCTAAAAGACCCGGCCCCCAAAATAAAATATCCGTTCTATTTACGTTAGTTCTATTTCTCTCTAGTTTCCTTTAGCTTCTCTGTGTCCCCGGCCCTCGGAACCGCTTCCTCGTCTCTCAACCCTCATAGGTTCTTGTCCGCCTTCTCATGCCACCTCCTCCTTGGCCCCCACCCCCTCCGCTTCGTCCGAGTACGCTCTTGTGATAGTGCTTAATGTGTGGCCCCTTTTCCAATTTGTTCCTCGCCCTCCTTCCCTTTCTTTCCCATGCCTTGGGCGTTTCTCTTTTCTTTTATGGCCCCTCTCCCTTCCTCCGCGTCCGCCGCTCGCTTGGTCCTAATGTCCTTTCGTGTTTCCCTGTGCTTTCGCGCGTCCTCTCCTGCCCTTGCGCCCCCCCCCCACTTCCCTTGCGCCCTCCACTTCCCTTCCTGTGGTAGGTGCCCTCTCAGCTTCCCTCCCCTCCAGGTTTCTCCACAACCCTATTCAGTGTGCAGGAGTTCTCTTACTTCTCCCCCAGTTTGGTGGAGCTCTTCCCATTTTCTCCCCTGCAGCCTGGCGTTTTCTGTTTAGTGGCAGAGAAAGTTGCTCATGTTTTAATAGAGACAGCCTTGTGTAGACAGGAGAAGGAGGAGGTTACGTACGTGTATAATGGACACACTGGTCGTAGGAGTGGTTCAGCATATTGTCGGGCACATCGATAGAATGCTCGTCGAAGAGGTTGCAGGAGTCGTCACTTCTACAGAAGTCGAAGGATCTGCAGGATGCCATCATGTTAGTCCTTAATATACCTGTACTCAGTACCTGTACCTAAACAGTAGTCTTGCATGAACAAATCCACAAGGGCCGTGACGAGGATTCGAATCTACGTCCGAGATCATCCCAGAAGCTGCCTTAATCGACTGAGCTACGACATGGTCAAAAAGAGTTGAAACCAGAAGTTGTACCTAACTTACTTGGATCCTGTAGCCTCTCCGAGACACAAACAGGGTTTTACACAACTCCCCATGCACTCGAGTTATGTTAATAGGCCGTTCTACCTCTTCGCCATTACTTCATTACACACAGAAATCACATTAACGTGATGTATCAAATGAACAAAAGGTACAACTTCTGGTTTCAACTCTTTTGACCATGTCGTAGCTCAGTCGATTAAGGCAACGTCTGAGATGATCTCGGACGTAGGTTCGAATCCTCGTCACGGCCCTTGTGGATTTGTTCATTTGATACATCACGATATTGTGATTTTTTCTATGTGTAAAGTAGTCTTGCATTATTCTTCATTATTTTTATTATTATTACTAATACTAATATTGTTTACTGATAAAAAATATATACATTGGTTATATTACACTGTATACATACATGAAACAGTATCATAATTTTTTTTAAAGGGCCACAAATCGCAATTCTCAATTATCGGGCTCGCATAGCTGCAGTTCTGGGGCCAGATTCACGAAATCACTTACGCAAACACTTACGAACCTGTACATCTTTTCTCAATCTTTGGCGGCTTTATTAAACAGTTAATGAGCTCCGAAGCACCAGGAGGTTGTTTATAACAATAACAACAGTTGAATTGGAAGTTTTCATGCTTGTAAACTGTTAAATAAATGTTACCAAAGCCGTCAAAGATTGAGGAAAGATGTACACGTTCGTAAGTACTTGCGTTTGTACTTTCGTGAATCTGGCCCCTAATCTTGTAGACTACTGGAGAAGCTGTCTAGTGGACGAAACATCTAAGCTAATAGCAAAGGTCACCAGCAACTTGATGATCGGACTGTTGGCAGCCGTGGAGTGAGGACGTTTCTCGACCCTCCGTGGCTGTTGGAGTTGTTTGCTGTTTTGGTCGCCAGGTGGTGTGGGCGTCATTGCCCTACCAGTTTTGTTGCCTGCCTGGCTGCGTTGACGTGGCAGTTCTGACATGGGGGGCCATCTTCCTCCTGTTCAGCGTGTGAACTCCGTGGGCCTGGAGTTTACTTGTAAGGCTGGTTATCCGACCATCGAGATGGTGATGTGTGACATGCTTCGTGTTCCGGTGGAAGCTGTTTACGGTGTGGAGCTAGTTTCGGCCCATCGGGTTGTTATTAAGTTCGTGGGGGAGGACGAGTACCGGGACTTCCTCCGTCGGTACGAGGGGCGTACGTTGCCGTTGCCAGACGATGCCGGCTCTGTGGCGATTTCGGACCGCAGTGGTACCCTGACTTATGTCAGTATCCATGGTGCGCCCCTGGAATTCCCTGATGACCTCCTCCGGCGTTACTTCGGGGGTTTTGGTACTGTTGTCAGCGTGCGGGTGAACACGCTCTCCTCGGGGCGGTATGCTGGGAGGCGTACAAACATTCGCACGTTGGGGATGCGCCTGCGGTCGGATATACCTTCTTCTGTCCGGCTTATGGGGTACTACGTCCGGGTGTATTATGCCCGGCAGCCTCGTACCTGTTTCCGGTGTGGCCTGTTGGGGCATCAGGCTGCCGGATGCTCTGAGGCCCCTGCTGCTCCTGTCAACTTGTTCCGCGACGAGGATTTCCCGCCGCTCCCTCTGGAGGCTGTCTCCGGTGATGTTGATGAGGTGGTGCGCGTCCCGTCTGCTGCTGCAGCTTCCCCGGCGGCGCCTGCCGTTCCTCCGGTTCTTGTCGTCCCTCCTCCGGTTCTTGAGGTACCGTCGGTTGGTCTGCCTGATCCTGTTGCTGTTCCAACTGCTCCCATGGGCCTTCCTGGAGCTCCCTGTGTGACGTCGCTGTCTTCTCCCTCGTCTTCTGATGCTGCGCCTGGCCCTGTGTCCGTGACTCGGGTCCCGGATGTGCTTGGTGCTGGGGTGACTGCGGAGCCTCCTGCTGTGTGTGGCCCGGTTCCCCCTGTGGTAGAGGCTGCTGCCGTCCTGGCGTCGGTTCCTTCGGCTCGTGGTACCCGTGTTTCTGGGTCACTTACCGGCTCGGACGATATCCGGCCGGTGCCCAAACGTTCCCGGCGTTCGTCTTCTTCCTGGGCCGACGTTGGTGACTTCAGTGACTGTAGGGCTTCGGATGTTGACAGTGTGGATACGGATGCGTCGATGTCTCCGCGGTTCGTGGTGGCGGAGGTCCATGTGCCTGCTGGTGCTGGTGCCTGTGTCTCGGACGTGCCTTCGGTTCTTTCTCCGCCGGGGGACTCTCCGCAGTGGGGGGTGGTGGCTTCCGCTGCCAGGGATGGTGTGGACTCTGGTGCTGGGCGTGGCCTGGTGGTGACGTTACGGAAGGATGCGCGCCGTCCGGGTTCCCTGCTGTCGTCTGGTGGTGTGCCCGGGGCCGCGGGTACCCCTGTGGTGCGGGTGCGCGTTGGGGCCCTGGGGGACGTGTTGCCGGCGTCTGTGATGCCACCGGGTCACTGGTCGAAGATTGCCGAGTTACTGCTGTCTGACGGACCGGAGTGCTTTCGTGGGGGGCAAGTTCCCTTCCTGTGGGGCGAGTGGCGACTTCTCGCCTCATGAGTTCTACCATCTGGGTCCCCAGTTTGCAGGTGTTTGTTGCCCCGATTCCGGATGTTATGGCGTCCCCGGTGGATGGACGAGACCCTTGGCAATGGGTGCTCTGGGAGGCGTTCAATGTAAGATTCCCGCGGGCCAAGTTCCCGGGCAAGTATGTGCTCTGATTTCTTGTGTATTTGCTCTATGACATGCTGTGTGCCCTTCTGGCTGTTTGTTTGCCCTGTTCTGTTATGTGCTTCTGCCTCTCCCTTTGTGCGTAGCTTTGCCGTGTGGCATATTAGTTTCTAGTGCTTGGCGTCACTCGTTTCGCGTTTTGGCTTAGCATTTCGCCTTTCCTGGCTTTGCGATTCACCCTTCACGGGTACGCCGGGGCGCATCCGATCCCACGATCGTCGTCGCCCCTAACTCAACAACAACAACAACTTGATGATCATATCCGCAAGTCGGATATGCACTCATTGTTACTATGAATTTCCAACTACATTTGTTATAAATGATTTGCTCATGAAGTTGAATTATGTTAACAATTTGCTTTTATTCAGAATCTTGCCTCTCCAGTCGCTGTTTTAATACACAAAGAACAAATAAGAGATTTGATTAATTATACATGTGAGTTTTTATCTTATAATTTATTCAGAAATTAGTTCATGTGATATTTATATTTGACACCAACAGTACAAAATAACAAAACGTCCTATATTCCTGAAGTTTGTTTGAATTAGCTTAGGTACAAGAAACACATGCAGCTCCCCCTATTCTATATGGGGGATTATAGATTTGCAGGTCAAACGCTAGCTGTGAGTTCATGTAATGACCCTATCTCACAGGATCCTGAAGGTGTTGAGGGACCTACAGTTCCTCCCACAGCAGGAACATCTCATTGTTAGAGAGACGAGGTAGGAGGCACTGACCTGCATGTGAAGGTAGTAGAATTGTCGCATAAGTAGGCGCACTTTCCCGGCCCTAAGGTATGCATCGTGGCCTTAGGAGTGCCTAGATATACAGTCCCATCCATCTTGCTGTAGTCATGAAGATGGTTACCTGTGGAGGGGACGTCATGTCGGCTGTATGATGAGGTCAGATCAATACGGTTTTCATCTGATCAAGATAGTGTAATATTACGAAAACATAATAGTTAAAAAGCTTGAAATCTCAGACCAGCGAAGCGGCGGGGAGACTATACTCACGGCTGATGACGACACAGTCCGTCTTGCCGATGACGTCGCTCTCCGGGGCGGGAGTGTCGACCACGTAGGAGGAGAGGTAGCAGCTCATGTCGTTGTAGCAGTAAGAGAATGCCTCGCACTCGAAGGCCTTCTGCTGAAGGCAGCTCGCCAAGCACTTGGCGTAGCTTACCTGCCGGGTCAACACATACTGGTTTACACCTGGTCTCCCAGACTCCCTGGGTATTCCTACTCTACCTCCCACCAACATTTAGCCGATGTTCCTGATACCTCTTGGCTATATATATATATATATATATATATATATATATATATATATATATATATATTATATATAATATATATATATAAATAAAACAATGGCAGAGCAGATACAAAAGGCTACCCATCTACCTTGGACAGTTGCAGGTCGGTGTATTCGACCTTGAGCTTGCCCTTGACGTAGGCTGTCCTGAAGTCGTCCCTCACCAGTTCCACCAGGACGGGGTCATCGGCCATCAGGACCTCTTCAGAGTGGACTGCTGTATATACACCAACCTTCGTCTGTCAGAAACAGAGCTTCAGGAAGACAGCCTCGACTGAGAGTATAACAACATCAATATTATGCAACAGTAGTGCATTCAGATATACAATGACGTTCCATATATAAATTTATAGAAAACTGAGGCGAGATTCAAATTGATATAATTATCAGAGAGACTGAACCATGCGAAAAATATCCCAGAAATTAGAAATGAATTTACTCACCTGAGCCGAGTCGACCATCTGGGGTTAGAAGTCCACGAAGCGTTATGGTGGTGCCGCTTCACGTTCTCAATTATCAGCATACAGGATTTGGTAAAAAATATAGCATCCTTTACTTTGTAAAAGCATATCTTTGAGAGTCCTTTACTTTGTAAAAGCATATCTTTGAGAGTCCTTTACTTTGTAAAAGCATATCTTTGAGAGTCCTTTACTTTGTAAAAGCATATCTTTGAGAGTCCTTTACTTTGTAAAAGCATATCTTTGAGAGTCCTTTACTTTGTAAAAGCATATCTTTGAGAGTCCTTTACTTTGCAAAAGCATATCTTTGAGAGTCCTTATACTGTCACAACTTGCGGATCAAGTTCAATTGTCCCCACTTTTAATTTTTGTTTTCCCTGAATTTACACAAGGCGCCTGACTCAAATTATGGAGCGAGCAGGCAATTGACCGGTACTCTGACTTTCTAAACTCTACCATCCTCTAGGCTAGGTTGAGGCGGGGCCTCCACAACAGCTCGCTCTCGTCATCCAGGGTGTCCAAAAATGTATCCGAGAGATCCACTTCCCACTTCACCTTTGAAGGGTTCTGGTCTCTGGTACATTTACGTTGGTAGTGGCAAGTCTGACTTTAAACAGAACACCAAATAAGGAGCTGCTCACTGCACGTGTAGGGGGAACAACACTAACCTCAGCACCTGGCTGCGCCTTTGCCACCATTTCTAATGGCTTTGATGGGGGGACAGGAAACCGCCGGCTTTTCGAAGGTGCTGAAATGCACCTTCGAGAGCAAACCGCATCCTAGACAAGGATAGCCCCTAGGACTAGGTTAGCTGGATTCGCCTATCTCTGGCTGTAAACTTTGCATGGTGTGGTCACGTGATTTCTGAGATTCATTTATTTTTTTATATTATCAAACCGACTCACCTGACCATCACTGTCTACGTAGTCCACTCTGACAGCGAAGTTGCGGATTTCGATCTCGCCCTTAAGCCAAAGAACGATTTCTTCGTTGGGCTTCTGAACCATGGTGTCATTCTTGAGGAGGACCTTGTTGTAGTGGGCGCACTCTTTGGGAATGTCTACGAACTTCCCGGGAGAGTCTTTGTAGTTGCTGACGTAGCAGTTCCTCTCGAGATCCGTGCACTCGTAGAACGACCTGCGGGAGGCAGAGGAATGTAGGACTGACTTATCTACAAAGGGTGGACTATATAAACATCGAGTGATGTATTCCGCCTCTCAGTATACATACGCTTTCAGGTAAAAAGCACAATTTGCCTGGTTGGAATCCCGGGTGGAACAGAAATGGTTGGGGTGCGTTTTGTATCACCTAATGCCTCTGTTTACTCAGCAATAAATAGGTGCCCAGGAGTTAGTCAGCTTGTTATGGGGTTGCATTCTGGGGGGTCAGTACTTCGACACGGGGGGGGGGGGGAATATAATCTTAATATGTATATATACACTGGCTGCCTGTCCCCCGGCACAATGATTATTATTATTATTATTATTATTATAAAAACATATATAAGAGTACATCTGGTGACATTTTAAAAATTAAAACGTTCATAAAAATCACGAAAAATAAAGTAATTAAAAAGGACTTACACAGTGTCATACTAAAATAAAGTGACTTGTCATGACCAAAGAAAGTGACTTACACGGTGTCTTAAGGAAAAAAGTTACTTACACGGTGTCTAGACGAAAGAAAGTGACTTACACGGTGTCTTAACGAAAAATAGTGACTTACAGGAGTCTTAACGAAAAAAAGTGACTTACACGGTGTCTGGACGAAAAAAGTGACTTACACGGTGTCTGGACGAAAAAAAGTGACTTACACGGTGTCTGGACGAAAGAAAGTGACTTACACGGTGTCTGGACGAAAGAAAGTGACTTACACGGTGTCTGGACGAAAGAAAGTGACTTACACAGTGTCTGGACGAAAGCAAGTGACTTATACGGTGTCACGACGATAGGTAGTGACCTACACGGTATCTTGATGAAGAATGATACAATGATTCAAGGAGAAAGAAGCTGGATACAGAGGGATGCTGTACTCACTGGCAGATGAACTTGACGTTTCTCAGACAACGGAAGGCGCAGATGTCCACATCGTCGACGACCAGTTCCAGCTGCACCCAGACCACAACCATGAGTTATAATACACCACAACCATGGGTTATAATAGACCACAGCCTTGAGTAATAATAGACCACAACCATGAGTTATAATACACCACAACCATGGGTTATAATAGACCACAGCCTTGAGTAATAATAGACCACAACCATGAGTTATAATACACCACAACCATGGGTTATAATAGACCACAGCCTTGAGTAATAATAGACCACAACCATGAGTTATAATACACCACAACCATGGATTATAATAGACCACAGCCTTGAGTAATAATAGACCACAACATGAGTTAATATACACCACAACCATGGGTTATAATAAGTCACAACAATAAAGTATAACAGGCCACAACCATGAGATGTAATCACATGTTTCATTGTAATCATCTCTCAACTTCTCAACTGTTATTATTTCATCTTAATCTTTGTGAGTCGTCATCGTCTAATTTAATCTTATTTTATAGAGGACTCTTCAGTGATGACCAAATCACACATCACAAGATGGAGAAACGTCGTTTCTCCATCTTGTGATGTGTGGGTTAGGTCATCATATCTTCAGCCACGTTATTGTGACTCATCGTCAGCACTCTTCAATGATCAGACCATCTTAGAAGCACACTGTAAGGAATGAAGAGAAGGCTTAAGGTCTCCAGGCCCCCCCCCCTAGAGCCGTGGGCTGTCCCCTCAGTTTATTAAGCTTCTTTTTATTATTTAAACTTTGCTATTCTGCTACCACAGGTCTTTTCCTGAAATACCACCCATTGAATATCGTTAGAGTACAGATCTTACCCTGGGCTACTGTTCATCTACATATCTTGACAACTGCTGCACTATAGATCTTGCCCCCCTATCCTAGACTACTGTTACACTATAACTGAATGCAGGCGATGAGTCACAATAACGTGGCTAAAGTATGTTGACCAGACCACACACTAGAAGGTGAAGAGACGACGACGTTTCGGTCCGTCCTGGACCATTCTCAAGTCGATTTGAGAATCGACTTGAGAATGGTCCAGGATGGACCGAAACGTCGTCGTCCCTTCACCTTCTAGTGTGTGGTCTGGTCAACTATAACTGAACTCTTCTCCAGAAGCGAGGCTCGTAACTCGCGTCTGAAGGAGACTATAGAGGGGTGGGTGCTCCTGACGGAGAGGAGGGCGGAGAGGATCGATGCTCTACCTGGGTGTCACTGTCGGTGGGCTTCCTGTCGTCCAGCTGCTGGAACTGGAGGTGGTAGGGCGCAGGCTCCAGCAGTAGCATCGTGGCGAACACGTGGTCGATATCATGGTCCATCTGCCGCCGGAAGAGATTAGGAAAGACCCGGGTAAATACTGATCCAGAAACAGGGTTGTTGATATAAGAACACAAGACACATTAGGATTAAGGAATCCGCAGAAGGCCCATTGGTACCAAGGAAACAAGACTGGGAGAGCGTATAAGCTTACCTGTACTTCAGGGAATCTGATGAAGGAAGACTGAGTGTCGCCCGCAATCTTGTCGATTAGGATCTTTTTAAACAAGTCAGGCCCCTGCGACGCCCCGTGGAACCAGTCACCTACGGAGAGGAGGCGCCAGACGCCAGGTCACTAGTCAGCTCCACTCGCTGAGTTACATAGAGGTGTGTTAAGACGTAGGCCTTTGTTTATGCAAGTCTTTCCAGACAAATGTTTGCGAAAAAAAATGCGTTTCTTATTGATTAAAAAGTTGGGTTACATTTTGCATTGTGTAGTACTGTATAATTATTATTATTATTATTATTATTTATAATTATTATTATTATTATCATAAATTTTCATGCGATTTTTGTAATATACTTAATTATTTATGCCCAAATAGCCTATATAGTATTTAGTTACTGTTACTACAAATTAAGTTAAAAGAATATGGAAGTGTTCAAACGAAAGATGAATAGCAGACTGACAAATGTTTGTGCCGGACATGCCAACGGAATCCATTAAATAGAATTCGACCAAATTTGCCATAATGGCAAAGGACCTTAAGAAGGCTCGGTCTCCAAAACAGTTGGGATCTGATGGATCCTGCGAAGACAAGCAGAGCATACGTGGATCCTGTGAAGTCAAGTAGAACATACCGTCAAAGGTGATTTTGACCCAAGTCCTCTGGGAAGGGATGTCCATGCAATCCCTCACGTCGAAGGGGTTGATCTCGAACACTTCGAAGTAGCTCTTGAAGTGGAGGAGGTTGACGGTGTGACGGTAGAGGATGGCCTCGGGGTCACTGTCGTTGTAGACGGTCACGTCGATGCTCGCTGGGAAGGACGTGCCATTCCACTCCCCGTGGATCTCGGTCTCCTCCTGCGGCAGGTAATGTTCCGGGGTTCCGGTCAGAGCTGGTGGTGACACCAGCATACCAGGAAGCTCCCAACGCTTCCCCAACACACCAACAAACCCCCAACACTTTCCCCAGCAAGTTCCCAACACTCTCTGAACACACCAGCAAACTTCAAACACTCCTACAACACACCATTAAGCCCCCAACACTTCCCCAGCAAACTTCCAACACTTTCTCAACTCACCAGCAAGCCCCCAACACTCCCCAACACACTAGCAAGCCCCCAACACTCTCTGAACACTCCCCCAGCACAACAAACTCCCAACACTTCCCCAGCAAGCTCCCAACACTCCCTCAACACGTTGAACACACCAGCACGTCTCCAACAATCCCCCAACACACCAGCCTCCCCCAACACACCAGCCAGCCCCCAACACTCCCCCAACATCACGGGACCTACTGAGGTAAACTGGTAGTCGACGACGGCCTTGTTGAAGTTGTTGCCGGTGTCGGGGTTCCTGAGGTCCTTCCTGGTGGAGGTCCAACGGGTGGTCCTCAGCCCTCGAGTCTCTCCGTACCCATTGAAGAAGTACCTGAAGGAGACACCTTCTGCTCAGTTTCCCGCCCACACTTGTGCTCAGTTTCCCGCCCACACTTGTGCTCAGTTTCCCGCCCATACCTGTGCTCAGTTTCCCGCCCACACCTGTACTCTGTTTCCACCTACACCTGTGCTCAGTTTGTGTACCCCTCAAATGACTGTTCATACTACCCGTCTCTGTAGAACAGCTCGTTGGGGTACAGTTGAGGAACAAGTGCTGACAACGAAGCGCTTTGAGATCGAAAACCCAAGATGGGAGTTTAGACTTTAACTGTTCGTCTCCAAGCACTTGCAACGGTCGGTACGGCGACGGCCTCGCTTCTTGCAGGCCAGCGCTCGATCCCCGACGGTTCAAGTGGTTGGATACCGTTCCTTCCCTCCGTCTTATCCTTGCTCCTTGTCTTCGTAGCCCTTTCAAATGCTACGTAGTCATACTAGCTTAGCACTTTCTCCTGTTAATTACCTTTACCTTTATTTATAGATGTCCCATACAGATTAGAGAACGTCCCTTATCCTGGGAGATGAGAACGCTTGTCTTTGAGGTTAGGTGGAATGTTTGGGTTCATACGTTCCTGGTCAGGGAAAACTATTATATTTTTCACGGAGTAGCGAGCCGAGAAAACGGGTTTGAGTGTGCGTGTTTGAGAGTGTGTGAGTGTACTCACGTGTCATCCAGGTGAAAGAGGTTATTGGGGTCGGCCATGATGACTCCAGCGATGGCGCTACTTCCTGTGAGACACAGTAGGAGTACAAACGTAAACAAATAGTACGTATCAGCTGATCCCATTCATAACATTGTCATAAGGCGTGACTACGATTATCTCACGATAAAATATCATTATGCACAATATCCGGACGATTGGGAAGAGAGAGAGAGAGCAAAGAGAAAGGAGATGAAGGACGAGGGAACAAAGAGAAGAGAGGGGAAAAAAAGACAAGAGAAAGAGCGAAGAGAAATAACTCACCGATAACGTTGCCCAGTTCGTCTGGGTCGAGGACTCCCATCTTACATGTACCCGTCTCCAGGTCGATCTTGTACTGGATCCCTGCAGGAGGTAGTGGTGGTGGTAGTGGTGGTGGTAGTGGCGGGGGTAGTGGTGGTGGTAGTGGTGGTGGTAGTGGCGGGGGTAGTGGTGGTGGTAGTGGTGGTGGTAGTGGCGGGGGTAGTGGTGGTGGTAGTGGCGGGGGTAGTGGTGGTGGTAGTGGTGGTGGTAGTGGTGGTGGTAGTGGCGGGGGTAGTGGTGGTGGTAGTGGTGGTGGTAGTGGCGGGGGTAGTGGTGGTGGTAGTGGCGGGGGTAGTGGTGGTGGTAGTGGCGGGGATAGTGGTGGTGGTAGTGGCGGGGGTAGTGGTGGTGGTAGTGGTGGTGGTGGTAGTGGTGGTGGTAGTGGTGGGGGTAGTGGTGGTGGTAGTGGCGGGGGTAGTGGTGGTGGTAGTGGTGGTGGTAGTGGTGGGGGTAGTGGTGGTGGTAGTGGTGGTGGTAGTGGTGGTGGTAGTGGTGGTTTTAGTGGTGGGGGTAGTGGTGGTGGTAGTGGCAGGGGTAGTGGTGGTGGTGGTAGTGGTGGTGGTGGTAGTGGTGGTAGTAGGGGTGATAGTAGTGGTGATGGTAGTGATGATAGTAGTGGTGGTGGTGGTAGTCAGGGTGGTGTAGTGGTGATATTTTAAGGGATAGCTGATGGTGATGCAAGTAGGGATGGTCTTTATAGTTTTGAAGATAGTGAAAAACTTCTACCACTTATGATGGTGGTAGAAGTGGTATGAACGGTAGTGACAGTAGTGGGAGGGCTGCAGAAATGACGATGCCAGCGACAACAATGAGGGGTAGTAACGATAATGTATGCCATTTATAATAATAGTGATGGTGGTTCTAATGGCGGTATCTAGCAATCAAATCTTAACAGTGTTCTATAAATTGAATTGACAATTGATCGCTTTGTCTCTATCTTAAAATTAAGTATAGGTCATCACTGTGTTGCATAAAGATGCAACAAAGATGCTTGGTTCGTGAGGCAGGGTCTGCAGGCTGACGCTCCACCATGCAAAACACAGCTCGGTGGGAACACACACACACACACACACACACACACACACACACACACACACACACACACACACACACACACACACACACACACACACACACACACACACGTCTCACCAGTGTTAAAGTCGTGGATACTCTTATAAGCTTGTGTGTTCTCATCGGCATCCATATCCGGGTTAATGTCGATCCGTAACAGCTGTCTCCAGTTGTCGTAGTACATCTGTAAAAGACACACACACACCTGTCAGCACCTTCCACACCTGTCAACAACCCCTCCACCCACACCTATAGCTAATCTGATTTCCCGCCTCTTCCCCTCTTCCCTAACAAAAAATGTAAATACCCATTCTGAAACACATACCCTAACTCTGGAGTATCAGGTCTGGAGGGAGAGTACTGACGGGGGACCAGGAAGGAGTGTACTGACTGGGGATCAGGAAGGAAGCTACTGACGCGGTTCACGACGAAGACCATTGTGCTCTGCAGACAATATCCAGCCTGACCTACCCAGGCCCTGAAGACCGTCGTGGTGGACTGATGTAAGGTGGGATTATAGTTTCGCACCACCGTCTCGATGAAGACCTCGAAGGTCTCCGGAGCTTTGGGCGGGTGGCTCTTGTGGGGGTCCAGTGTTTCTCTCCCCTTGCAGTCCACACCATCCTCTACCTGTGGTCAAAAAGAGCAAGCTGGGGAAACATTTTTCGTGACGCGCTCGGGCACGTTGGGGAAACTTTCCGTGACGCGCTCGGGCACATTGGGGGAAACTTTCCGTGACGCGCTCGGGCACGTTGGGGAAACTTTCCGTGACGCGCTCGGGCACGTTGGGGAAACATTTTTTGTGACGCGCTCGGTCACATTGGGGAAACTTTCCGTGACGTGCTCGGTCACATTGGGGAAACTTTCCGTGACGCGCTCGGGCTTGCTTAAGTTTGTTTAGGATGAAGAACATTCGGTTTCATTGGACTCTTATTTGACTTGGATACGGTATGCTAGATTCAGTTTTATTTGAGCATGGTACACTAAGTATATCTTTATTATGTTAATATATGCAGTGGTAGGTTTTATTTGTTTATGCTTGATGTGCGTTAAAAACTAATAATAATAATAATAATAATAATAATAATAATAATAATAATAATAATAATAATAATAATAATAATAATAATAATAATAATAATAATAATAATAATAATAATAATAATACAGCTTACCAGAAATTCGTGTTTCTTGCCGTTTACGATGTAGGGTCTGAAGTCTGTGTATTCGTAGTAAATGCTTTGGTCGAAATCGTTCATGGAGGGGTTCCAGGGGTCGCCTTGCTTCCCATGAACCTGAGACAAGATACACATCTTGGGTACCTGTTTCGTCTGAGCTTTGTACACAAACACAACACACTCTAGTAATAATATTTCAACTGATATATCGTAATTATGTGATATATTCATGTCGTTTCCTTCTGAGAAAGCACTGTGACCTGAGGTGATTGTCTACAACACATTTCAGATCACCACACAGGGAAGAATACTCTATATATTGATGTTATTCTTTCCTGGTGGAAAGTCTGCTAGTTATTCGAAGCAAATGTGTAGTTTATCTTGATCTCGAAGTACTGTACCTGGAACCTAGTGACAAGTGGGAGTTCTGTAGCCCACATACCGTGCTTGGGCCCCTGATGATAGGTGCTAAGTTGCTGGACGTGGGAGCATGTACAACATAATAAATAAATTTCACGTCAAATAATTGAGCACATCTCGTGAGACGCGCTACGAGTCTCGTCAACATGAAAGTTGTCTTACAAAAACAGCATTTCGCAGCATTTGTGCTAAGAGAGTAACATAGTAAAGCCATTATGGCGTTGTGGCCTACCCAACCAGGCACATTACCTGGTTGGGTAGCAGGTAAGGCGCCACCTGGCAAGACTCGCACACACACACCTTGACCAGCAGCGGCGCCGCCAGCGGGAGTCCATCCATAGAGTGTCCGAAGGGCATCAACCACGCCCCACTGGCGAAGTAGTAGTCGAGAGTGTAGTTGTCCTTGTGATTAATTAGCCAGTGGTCAGCCGAGATGCCGCGAATCTTATCTTGTCCTTTGTACTCCTGCGCAAAGGAAGACAAAGATGGCGCTGAGTGAGAGAGAGAGAGAGAGAGAGAGTAGGGTCGGTAAAATTTATAACATGATAATAGTTCTAATGTTGTAAGGCGTTGACGAGGATGGGGTCAACCTAACGACCTACCACTTGGTCCTTATAGTCCCTGACGATCCTAAGCAGCGCCGAGGGTCCGTAAAGGAAGTTCGCCTTGCCGCCGGCGGAGGAGGAGGCGTCGTAGATCCACCCCCAGAGGCGGTAACCATCGTTCTCCAGGATCCTGCACAACGCAAGGCATCATTGTCACTCGTGTTGGAACATATAATGTGTGCGTGTCTGTATCCATGGTCACTATGGCTACTATCCATGGTCACTATGGCTACTATCCATGGTCACTCTGGTTACTATCCATGGTCACCATGGCTACTATCCATGGTCACTATGGCTACTATCCATGGTCACTATGGCTACTATCCATGGTCACCATGGCTACTATCCATGGTCACTATGGCTACTATCCATGGTCACTATGGCTACTATCCATGGTCACCATGGCTACTATCCATGGTCACTATGGCTACTATCCATGGTCTCTATTTAAAACATGCATAGCTGATTTCAAATGCGGTTGAATGTGTGTGTGAATACATGCGTACATAAAATATGTAAATACGACGGCATGCAAGTACAAACAAACACACACACAAGTGTGTGTGTGTGTTTTTTTATCAAATACTTTTACACACACACACACACACACACTAGAAGACAGAAGAAAAAGAGGTGATATGATCACTACATACAAAATAGTAACAGGAATTGATAAAATCGATAGGGAAGATTTCCTGAGACCTGGAACTTTAAGAACAAGAGGTCATAGATTTAAACTAGCTAAACACAGATGCCGAAGAAATATAAGAAAATTCACTTTCGCAAATAGAGTGGTAGACGGTTGGAACAAGTTAGGTGAGAAGGTGGTGGAGGCCAAGACCGTCAATAGTTTCAAAGCGTTATATGACAAAGAGTGCTGGGAAGACGGGACACCGCGAGCGTAGCTCTCATCCTGTAACTACACTTAGGTAATTACACACACACACAGGCGGGCCGACAGAGCAAAGCTCAACCCCCGCAAACACAACTAGGTGAATACAACTAGGTGAATACACACACACACACACATATATATATATATGCGAACAAGCCTGAATGGTCCCCAGGACAATTCAGGCTTGTTCGCATTTGTGTTCCTCACGTGTGCCCCAAAGAATGAGGTGATTTGGTAAAATGCTATGCCCAAGATTACTATCCGAGTGCCGGCGGTGGGGTGGTTCAAATAGCTTCGGCTATCACCTCATTATGTCCGGTCGTGATGGTCAAGTGGATTAAGGCGTCTTGTACATACCAGTTGCGTTGCTCCTGGGAGTATGGGTTCGAGTCACTTCTGGGGTGTGAGTTTTCAGTTACATATATATATATATATATATATATATATATATGTCGTACCTAGTAGCCAGAACGCACTTCTCGGCCTACTATGCAAGGCCCGATTTGCCTAGTAAGCCAAGTTTTCCTGAATTAACATATTTTCTCTAATTTTTTTCTTATGAAATGATAAAGCTACCCATTTCATTATGTAAGAGGTCAATTGTTTTTTATTGGAGTTAAAATTAACGTAGATATATGACCGAACCTAACCAACCCTACCTAACCTAACCTAACCTATCTTTACAGGTTAGGTTAGGTTAGGTAGCCGAAAAAGTTAGGTTAGGTTAGGTTAGGTAGGTTAGGTTGTCGAAAAACAATTAATTCATGAAAACTTGGCTTATTAGGCAAATTGGGCCTTGCATAGTAGGCTGAGAAGTGCGTTCTGGCTACTAGGTACGACATATATATATATATATATATATATATATATATATATATATATATATATATATATATATATATATATATGTCGTACCTAGTAGCCAGAACGCACTTCTCAGCCAACTATACAAGGCCCGATTTGCCTAATAAGCCAAGTTTTCATGAATTAATTGTTTTTCGACTACCTATCCTACCTAACCTAACCTAACCTAACTTTTTCGGCTACCTAACCTAACCTAACCTATAAAGATAGGTTAGGTTAGGTTAGGTAGGGTTGGTTAGGTTTGGTCATATATCTACGTTAATTTTAACTCCAATAAAAAAATATTAACCTCATACATAATGAAATGGGTAGCTTTATCATTTCATAAGAAAAAAATTAGAGAAAATATATTAATTCATGAAAACTTGGCTTATTAGGCAAATCGGGCCTTGCATAGTAGGCTGAGAAGTGCGTTCTGGCTATTAGGTACGACATATATATATATATATATATATATATATATATATATATGTCGTACCTAGTAGCCAGAACTCCCTTCTCAGCCTACTATTCAAGGCCCAATTTGCCTAATAAGCCAAGTTTTCCTGAATTAATATATTTACTATAATTTTTTTCTTATGAAATGATAAAGCAACCCTTTTCTCTATGTATGAGGTCAATTTTTTTTATTGGAGTTAAAATTAACGTAGATATATGACCGAACCTAACCAACCCTACCTAACCTAACCTAACCTATATTTATAGGTAAGGTTAGGTTAGGTAGCCAAAATAAGCTAGGTTAGGTTAGGTTAGGTAGGTTAGGTAGACGAAAAAACATTAATTCATGAAAACTTGGCTTATTAGGCAAATCGGGCCTTGAATAGTAGGCTGAGAAGTGCGTTCTGGCTATTAGGTACGACATATATATATATATATATATATATATATATATATATATATATATATATATATATATATATATATATATATATCTGTTCTTTGAGTTTACATGTGTACATACTACCTATGGTGTCTTTGTGGTTTTAAGACAACTACATATATACATCCATGTCTATATACATACACATACATACATACATACATACATATATGCATACATCAGAGGCCCCGATAGGTACAGGCTCGTATCATAGGTCACGAGATTGATTATCATGGATCACACGAGATAATAGAATAGCTCACATGAACGACAAGAGATACGAACACGGGCACACGCACAAGAGATACGAACACGGGCTCACACACGCAATTAAGAGATACGAACACGGGCTCACACACGCAAGAGATACGAACACGGGCTCACACACAAGAGATACGAACACGGGCTCATACGCAAGAGATACGAACACGGGCTCACACACGCAATTAAGAGATACGAACACGGGCTCACACACGCAAGAGATACGAACACGGGCTCACACACACAAGAGATACGAACACTGGGTGATTGAACACGTTTAACGAGACTCACGTTCCCACAGCGCACTGGTGGTCGCGGACCACAAAGGTCTGATCGGTCTTGCCGTAGTAGTTGGTCCTGGTGCTGTGGCCGTGGTCAACGATGTTCAGCATTCCTTTCTCTTCCTTGATCTCATACAGTTCGTAGACGTTCATCGTCGCTCCGGGTTCCTTAATACGCACACAAACAAAAAATATAAGGCATCCGGAAATTAACGCATGAACGAATTTGGGCTAGAAAAGTGAATTTGGATAACTTGAGAGATTTCTCAACGGTAGCTAGGTGGGACAGACAGACAGACAGACAGGAAAAAAAGATTCATCACAATGGGGATGTTAAAACCCATGCAGCGGCTTGTAACATCCCCATTGAGTGTGGTAGCCTAGCATGAGTGTGGTAGCCTAGCATGTGTGGGGTAGCCCAGCATGAGTGGGGTGAGGAAGGAACTCACCAAGTCAGGGAAGTTAACCGTGACGTCAGAGTCATACGAGCCCTCCACCACCGTCCAAATGTCAGGTAGAATTGGATCGTCTTTGACGGCCGCCGCCAACACCGTCGCCGTCGCCAGCACCACCGCCGCCTCCGCCAGCTGCACGCCTCTCTGAGGACACGGGTACGCCAATCACCATCACTCTCTTGCGCCTCAAGCTCCGAGAACATCAACAAATTGTAAGCAATGAACAACAATCCTCGAACTCTATACTTACTTCTTAATTTCTAAAGCCACTTCCAATTGGACACAATATCCACGAATAAGGTATGATTGAAGAGATCCGAGCCACAAATCTAAAATTAAAGGAAATGGCGACGTTTCGGTCTGTTCTGGACCATTATCAAGTCGTGTGATGATCCAGGACGGACCGAAACGTTGTCACTTCGTAAATTTTTAGACCTGTGGATTGGGTGTCTAATTTTCACCCCGTTTTCTAATTTTCAGACTTCCTGTCTGCACGTTGATTCAACGTTGATTTAAACTTATTCTTGGATATTGTGGCCACTGGGTTTCAGTTCACTTTGCCATATGCTTTCTCAGAGTCGACAGATGCTTTACAACTCTCATTATCTTTCTCACGTGCCGTTATTTGATGCGCGTAACCTCTTCCATTGTAGAGAAAATATCCTAATGCGTCACTGATTAGGTTCTCAATTATTCTCCGTACTCTTTCAATGATTATAATTTGGGATACGGTCCCCACTACACATAGGGGGATGATGATAATTATTTTTTGTACATAGTGGTACAGGAGCAGACGACGTCTGCCTTCTGCTAGCAAGTTGAGAGCTGTCTTTCTCATAGCTCATGGTAAGCTTCACCTACTAGTTTTCTCTGAAACACGACTCGCCGATCGCTAAGCAATACAATTACTGCTGGGTGAACAGGGGGGCGAAGAGTTAAGAATTGGCGCCCAGACAATCCTCCCTGTCTATCCGGTAGGCATTCAGACACCGTTAAATGGAGTAGAACCAAACTGGAATGACTGGCAGAGAGCCTAAAATAAAAGAATGTAGATTATAAATGTTTTCCACGAATGCCCTATATTCAGTAGGTACAATAGTAAACAATAGAGACAGGCAAACCGGTAGTCCCCGTAGTGTAGTGGTTAAGACGCTCGCCTGGCGTTTCGCGAGCACTTCGTGCTGGGTTCGTATCCTGGCTGGGAAAGATTTACTAGGCGCAAATCCTTAATTGTAGCCTCTGTTTAACTCAACAGTAAAATGGGTACCTGGTTGTTAAACGATTTTTCGCGGGGTCGTATTCCAGGGAACATAGGATAAAGGACTTGCCCGAAACGCTACGCGTGCTAGTGGCTGTACAAGAATGTAAAAACTATTGTATATATAAATAAATACAAAAATAAATAAATAAATAGTCAAGAGTGGCGTTGGTTGGAGGTTGGATCAAGGTTAAATCAGCGGTGATGACGTTGACTTAGCGTTGCTTTTGGATAGTGGGCTCACTGGATATATGGGGGTTTCTCAAAACTCAAAATTCGGGGCGTTGAAGAAGCCGGCTGCTTGTAAAAAGGTCCCTTTATTATCCCTGAGGTTTGTTTCCGGCTAAATTTTATGGAGACGAAATTGCCTTGGCACTTACTGCTTCGGTTGGTAAACGCTTCCATCGGCTTTCTATGGGTAAAAGAAACATAACCTGTTTTCTGTCCTACATTGTGCGTTGTTGAGCTTGAAGCTGTTGTCCCTTTGTGAGTTAGTGTGGATTGTTGAGCTTGAAGCTGTTGTCCCCTTGTGAGAGTTACATTGGACGTATTAAAGAACTGGACCTACCATGTTGGGAGGGAGCAGTACGAAGTCAGAAGAGGCACTGGAGAGACTAAGGGAAATTGCCAGGCACTCATTGTAGGTGGATCTCTATCAGGGGCGCCAGGTGAGGCACCCCTTCCCCCATCCCCGCAACATCCCCCCCCATTGCTAGTACCCCCTCATACCCCCAGTGATCCACCCTCCTCTCAGGTGTCATTGTTGTGGTAGATTCAAACCAATGACCTCATCGCTATCAAAATCAAAATGTTTATTTAGGTAAAAGTACATACATAGTAGATGAGTTACAAACATAATGTTGGATTTATAGATAGAGCTAGTACATACAATACCTAAAGCCACTAATACGCACAGCGTTTCGGGCAAGGTGTGGGGAAAACACTTTGACAAAAGCTTAATACTAATTGAGATTAAAGTATAAACTGTGTTGAAAATGGAAAAAGGGGGGGGGGACATGGCAGAAATCAACAATTATATAACTTGCTCAACAAAAAGTATTGTTTGAAAATAGCAAGACATGGGATAACATTTAGGGGGGGTAAGTTAGGTTACATGGAGTATATTAGGTAGTATTTAGTTTTCCTCTTAAAACTGGTTGAGTGAGGTACAGCCTTTGACATGATTGGGAAGGTCATTTCACATTCTGGGTTCCTTAATTTGTAGAGCATATCTAGTTTGGTTAAGGCGCACTCTTGGAATATCAAATAGGTATTTGTTTCTAGTGTGGTGCCCATGGGTTCTGTTGCAATCTTCTAGGAAGCTTTTAAGGTCGGGATTGACATTACAGTTCAGAGTTTTAAATATATAGAGTACACATGAGAGGATGTGCAGTGACTTAAATAATATCTAACATATTCAACGATTTGAGTACGGGTACCGAGTGCTGTCTGGGGCCAGAGTTAAATATTGTTCTAATAGCAGCTTTGTGTTGGGTAATTAGAGGACGTAAATGATTTTGGGTAGTAGAACCCCAAGCAAATACCATAATTGAGATAAGGAAAGATGAGAGAGTAATAAAGCGTCACCAGGGCAGGGCGAGGTACAAAATATCTGATATTAGAAAGAATGCCAACAGTTCTAACAACTTTTTTTGCTATATTTAGAATGTGTCTCTGGAAACTCAGCTTGTTATCGATGAGGACACCAACAATTTACCATCTACTTTGTTACTAATTTGGATATTGTTTATTCTTAGATTAATTTCATTTCAGGATTTATTACCAAACAAAATATAGAAAGTTTTGTCAATGTTAAGGGTGAGTTTGTTAGCAGTTACCCAAAGATGGACTTTATTTATTTCAGTATTCACTGTGACATTTAGAGCAAGAGGGTCAGGACTGGAGAAAATGAAAGTTGTGTCATCAGCAAATAAGATTGGTTTGAGGTGTAGAGAGGCATTTGGAAGGTCATTAATGTAGATGAGAAAGAGGAGAGAGCCAAGTATTCTGCCCTGTGGAACACCAATGTTGATGGGTAGGGTGGGAGAAATGGAATCATTCACAGAAACATACTGGAGCCTGTCAGTAAGGTAAGACTGAAGGTATTGGAGGGAGTGACCTCTGACTCCATAATGATGTAATTTAAGAAGAAGGTTTTGGTGGCTGACAGTGTCAAAAGCCTTACGTAGATCCACACATAACCCAACAGGGAACTCATTTTTATCAAGAGCTGCCTCGCTGTTCGTGGTACCTCGCTGCTCGAGGTGCCTCGCTGCTCGTGGTACCTCGCTGCTCGTGGTACCTCGCTGCTCGAGGTGCCTCGCTGCTCGTGGTACCTCGCTGCTCGTGGTACCTCGCTGCTCGTGGTACCTCGCTGCTCGTGGTACCTCGCTGCTCGTGGTACTCGAGGTACCTCGCTGCTCGTGGTACCTCGCTGCTCGTGGTACCTCGCTGCTCGTGGTACCTCGCTGCTCGTGGTACCTCGCTGCTCGTGGTACCTCGCTGCTCGAGGTACCTCGCTGCTCGTGGTACCTCGCTGCTCGTGGTACCTCGCTGCTCGTGGTACCTCGCTTCTCGTGGTACCTCGCTGCTCGAGGTACCTCGCTGCTCGAGGTACCTCGCTGCTCGTGGTACAACTAGTGACATTTAAGAATAGAGTCATCTGACACCCTCGATATTTAGCACTTGTGACATTTAAAGTCACCAAGTGTCAAGGTGTTATTGATGACAAGTGTGAGATCTAAACTCATGACAGGTGTCATTACGTGAGACACAATGACACCTACTAATAGTGACACCTGACAGAAAGAGAGAGACAGACAGAGATAGAGACAGGCAAAAACAGAGACAGAAAAGAGACAAGAGACAGCGTGAAACAAGAGAAACAGTTACCTGAAGAAATATAAAGGCTCAGACAGCTAAGTTACGTCCATATATTCACACATAAGACCATCAGGTTACCACAGGGGGGAGGGTCTCTTAACACACGCCAACGCCTCCTCCCATGATAACAGCTATCTCCCACATGTGGGTTACACCAGGAGCCACGATAACGGCTGTTATTCTGATCTATAGCGTCCTGCCACAATGATAGCGGGCGGATTTTCTTCACACATTCTGATGGACCGAGAGAGAGAGAGAGAGAGAGAGAGAGAGAGAGAGAGAGAGAGAGAGAGAGAGAGAGAGAGAGAGAGAGAGAGAGAGAGAGAGAGAGAGAGAGTATAAATATTAAATATTTCCTAGTCAACATGTTCATCTGAGAATATAATGCCATTTGGGTAAGATCAAGAGGCCGATCTGGCAATTTGTGAATATAAACAGTTATATTTTGTGTGTGAGAAAGATGAGGATGAGTTCAGTGTATGTGTGTGTGTGTTCTCCAGCACATTCACCAGACTCCACGGCGTTACTGCTTGGCAATAAGTGTATCTTGAAGCATGCACCACCTGTTGGTCAGGGAATACCGCTATATATAGCTCTTGATACATACACTGTTGTCCCTTCTGTATCATACAGTAGCATCACATTGTGCTGTCTATCTTACCTCGGTAATAAAAAAAAATAACTCATATGTATATCTGCTCGCATGTAAATTGTATTACCAAAGCAATATTCACACATTACATAATGAAACATTTTAATTAAAAAAAATGTAGACATTACCCAAAACATTCGCCCAAAGTATCCCAGGTTAGCCTATTGTAGTACTTGGTAGTACATGCAACTCCTGAACTCAGTATTTAACTGTAAGGTCTCCACCTCCACCCACTGCATCAGTATGCAACCCGTTCTCGCACTTGCTTACAGTCAATATTGGCTTATTTAATAAGTGCATATGTGACATACTAATTGATTGTGAGTATTTTAGTTTACCTTGAAAAGCTTCATAGAAAACATCGACCTCACCTAACCTTCTTAGTATGTTAAGATAAGCATCTTATTGCTTCTTATTTACAATTATTACTTAACCTATCAACAGTATGGAGAGTATCATAGACAAAATTTGAACGTGTAAATAGTTCAACACAAATATTATTTAACTCAAGGAACATTGGGGGACCAATCCCTTGTCTATTATGGTTTCCCCGTTGTCGACGACAGCAAGCCAATTAATTAGACTTATCGAGTTCGTCTCTACAGCCAACGTATTACCACTATGCAACCCATAACAGTTAACTAACTCCCATGCAGATACCCATCGTTGCTAAAGGTGATTGGAGGTGCCACCCAGGGGGGTGGGTGTGGGACTCCATAATAAACTAAGGTAAAACTTGCTTAATTGTGACTCTCTAGTTGAATAGCAATTATATGCTGTCTCACGTACGTGGGTGGAGCTGTGATCGACATGCTGCGTCTCACGTACGTGGGTGGAGCTGTTGAGGTTTCTCTATTATATCCTGTCGAGTTATCGTTATCATTGATATATACACCCAGCTGTATATAGCTGCTGCTGTTGGCAGTGTTCCGTGAGATGAAGAGGGTTGGTGGTGCCCGGGTTTCCGTATGCCAGCTGGCGCGGACAGCATAGGCCAGCAGGCGCGAATGGCATGTGCCAGCTGGCGTGTAAGGCACGTGCCAGCTGGCATGTACAGCACGTGCCAGCTGACATGTACAGCACGTGCCAGCTGGCATAGACAGAACCTCAAACCGATCATACCCAGCAATAGTATTTGTCATCAAAACTATATCAAACACTGTCTTTGGAATTGAACATATATCCAGACTCTGTTCATATCCCTACCGTGCTAAACAGTCACACACTAATTATTTATACAATTATTTATGCGTATATTGGTCACTGTAGCTGTACGTACACTTTGCTTTCTTGTTATATTTATTAATTGCACATATAATAGTTTCCACAATTACAATTATAATTCTCAAAGTATATATTTCTATCACTAGACTGAAACGAAGTTTAACTGTACTTTATGGTAACACTATAAATATTATCGATGTGCATATAGGCCGTCTACCTCAACTATAATTTGGTAGCTTTAAGACTTACCCGAAGCCCTATTTAGGTGTTACTGCGGCTTGGAAAGAATGAAAAGCTCACACTAATATTATTATATGATTCACATATTACTTTCTTTGTTTTAAATAATGCAAATATATAAATAATGCCACGAGGGCTGCCGTTAGGGAGCGCGGTGGTTGCTGTGAGCCGGGTGTCCGCCAGGAGGCCTAGGGCTGGGCTGTTCCACTTGGCATCTCGCCAGAGCAACCTCCCAACGTATATAACACACTCGGTCACCAAGAGTCTGCCTAGCAGTGTGTTTATCTGCCTTAAAACGCAGTAATTTTGTCCCGCCAACAGGCAACATATCGCCTCAGTGCTTAGAATTTTTTTCCATGTGAACGAAGTGTACACGAACTTGTGCACATACGGTCTTGTGCTGTAGCTGCCTCTGACCTAATAACCAAAATAAACAATCTCGTGACTAGTTCCTCGTAAGTGGGGCGCATCCCATCCCACCATCGTCGTCGCCTCTAAATCAACAACAACGTAAGTGTCTCTGCTCTAAAGGGAAATTTTCATCAAGTGTTACACTTGGAGTTTATAATATTGCATTATCGAGGTTTGATAAGAGCTTCAGCAGCCCGCTGGCTGAATTAAATTCGCTTCCGCAGACTTACAGGTGAGAGGCAAGTCATATTTGCCGTGTATATGGCGCATTTATCAATAATTGTATAACGCATTGATCAATAATACGTTTATTCATATAACGTAGGTAAAATGTGTGCATACACTGCAGGCACAATATACAACCAAAAAATATTATACATCTGTAGCCAGCCGTAAATGCCAAAATCTGCTGAATTTCTGAATCCAGCTGGACAGGATCATCATCAAGGCCCCCATGATGTGGCCTGGTTCTGATGATGTTTTTCTAGCTGGATATTAAATTTCAACAGAGTTTTGACATTCACAGCTTCTGCAGGTAGGCAGTTTCATGGGTTTATAATCCTGTGGGTGAGAATGCTTCTTTTGTTTTCAATCATACATTGTGACTTGTTGAGCTTGAAACAGTTGCTCCTTGTTTCGGTTACATCTGACTTATTGAAGAAATGGTCCAGATTAATATCCTCCAATTTGTTCAGTATTTTAAAATTTGTATGAGATCCGCCTTGTCATGCCTGGTTTGCAGTTCTGTTAGCCCTGTGGCCCTCAACTATTCCTGGGTATAAGAAATATTGCCGAAACAGCTATGGACATCTTCAAGAGAAAACTAGATAATTTTCTCCAAGGAGTGCTGGACCAACCAGGCTTTGGTTGATATGTGGGCCTGCGGGCTGCTCCAAGCAACAGCCTAGTGGACCAAGCTCTCACAAGTCAAACCTGGCCTTGGGCCGGGCTTGGGGAGTAGAAGAATTCCCAGAACCCCATCAAGTAGGTATCAAGCAGGTATGAGAATTGACTTAGCTCTGGAGTGATTTTTGTTGCCCGGTTTTAAACTTTCTCCAGTGCAGCTCTACCTTTCTGAAGATGAGGTCTCCATGCTTGGAATGAATAATCCAATATATAGACATTGTGTATACAATATACAGGCATTGTGTATACATTATACAGGCATAGCATATACAATATACCTGCACTATACTCAATATACATACACAATACAGTATATACACAATATACATACACAATACCAGTATATACTATATACAAACAATGCAGGTACAGTACTGTACTTTCACAATACAAATACTGTACATGCACAATACAGAAACTGTACACACAGTACTGATAAGGGTCACTCAGAATACAGATGCCCTACTGTATTGCTTACTATACAGTAGGCAATACAGTAGAACAGCAATATGCCTACTACAGTACTACACTCACAATACAGATACTGTGTTTGTATTTAAACACACAATTCCGACACTATACTGTACACACAATACAGATACTATACACGCACACAGTTGATACTTTATACACAAAATGCAATTATATATATATATATATATATATATATATATATATATATATATATATATATATATAAGTCTCCGTGGTGTAGTGGTAAGACACTCGCCTGGCGTTCCGCGAGCGCTATGTCATGGGTTCGTATCCTGGCCGGGGAGGATTTACTGGGCGCAATTCCTTAACTGTAAAAAAAAAAAAAAAATATATATATATATATATATATATATATATATATATATATATATATATATATATATATATATATATATATATATATATATATCATTATATATATATATATATACACATATATACACACATACACTAATGTAAAATGTGCTGGTTATTTTTTACAGGAAAATGATTGGACTACATCCCCGGAATTGTTCATTAATGTTATCAAGATGTGGTAAGGATGTTTTACCGGTTTGTGGTTTTGCATCTACAACGGACAGTAGCATGCCAGTGGCAGGTGGTGGCAAGCATCGGAAACCCCAGGTAAGGCAAACATCCTTTTGCTTATGTAATTAAACAAATATCTAGTTAAAGATCAGATTTTCTTTATATTAACTGTATCGTATTTGTTAAATATTGAAGGGTTAACCAAATCTGGTTTACAGGAAAAAGGGAGTGATCATACTGGAATGCTTATTGACCCACAAGAAGTTAAGTGTGATTGCGTTGGCCCACCTGATCGACAGTCTAACTTAAGGATGACCAAGTTTTACATCCCACCAGATGAGACTCCTCTTGAACGGCGGCATCGAGAGGAACGTTTTAAAACACAGGAGTGGAACCACAGATTTTGGGCAGATCACAATACAAAATTTAAAAAGGTAATTAAAATTAATTTTAGACAAAAGTTCAGAATTTAAACAAATACTTAAGATATTAGTCACTTTTTTAATAGTTTCATATACTCCAATAGGACCATTAAAATGCCATTAAATACTGCATTGTTTTCTGTTTGTGTATTACTGTTTAATGATATACAGAAATAGCAATAGCTTGTAGGCATAATGTGTGCCATATTAGATGCACACATGGTTACCCTACAAGGTGATGTAATTTTTACAGGATCCATGAGTTTTTACATTTATTTCCAGATGAAGGAAGAGTTCATTCGAGTCCGCTTAAAAGAAAAATATGGAGAGAACACGGAAGATCAGAAAACCCTATCGGCTGATGAAATGTCGGAATTCTATAAGAAATTTCTCGATGATCATCATCTGGTTCATGGGCAGTATAACAGAGAATGGTATAAAAAAAATGTGAATAATCTTCTTATTGCTACTAGAGTTTGGTTTCAGCAGAGAGGAAACACAAGAAGATAACAATTGTGGGATGAAACTCAAATGTTATTTAGAAAATGTACAAAATTAGTACCTTTTCAATTCAATAGACTAATGGTTTTATAGATTGTTTTCCCATCTAGGTTTTTGAATGAATTTATCTTACTGACTTTTGCATTAATAATGGATTGATATGACTGTTTTTCTTTATCTGCTACAGATGCAAGTGACAGTTTTCATTAAAAAGTAAATTTGGTTAGGATATTAATGTGTCCGAGTCTCCAGCTATGTGCACACAAACTCTGTAATAAGATAAGTATTCTCTCGTAGATTCTGTACGCTTATGCTGCTGTGATTTATTACATTTCTTCATGTCTCTTCTTGCTATATTTGATGTACTGTAGTTTGTTTTCTGATTTTAGAATTAATGGTAACCTTTTAATATTGATGTACACCATTGCCCATTAAAATATTAATATTATATTAACAGTGACTATGCTGTTATCTTATATTAAGTGACTATGCTGTTATCTTATATCAAGTTCATTACCTGCAAGTGTAACTAAATTAGATACAGGTTGCCTCTCTTTGCATGGTTAATTTGATGATTGATTAATATATATAATATCTCTTGCACCAAAGATATTTGTAAGGTAATTTTGCCAGTACTGAGTATAGCCATGTATAGTATTGTCTATATTATACCTCCATTTCAGCACTATTTGGCAACTTTCTCAGAATTACATTCATAATTCCTGGGGTATCAAACTCTTGCAACAGGTACCTCAATGTCTGCTGGTTCATTACTTTTTAAATCACTCAGCATTAAGATCAGATATTACTGGACATGGTGGCAGGGTGTGTCAGTACTCTCTACTGGCTTTTTCATATTGTTTAGGGGCTTTTTTTTTCTTTTTCAATTCCCTCCTGTGTGCCTGGGTACTAGTATCCAGAACCCATGTTCAGTGGCTCGTATATTTGAAACCACTGACTGTTAAGGTCTGATATTAATGTGCAAGTTAGCAGTGTGTGTTTGACATCCATCACTGACATTTGCAATTAATTTGGTTATGCTTGGCATGTGTCGTGATATTGGAAATGGACCAGTTGCAATGCCAGTGATTGGATGTATCAATTATTATCAATAATGCACCAATAATGCACTAGGTGTCTACTACTGTGTTTTCCTACAGTTTAAGGACTATACATTTGTCGGAAAACAAAAGAAAAACTTAAATCAAATATTATTTCTTAAATAAAATGTAATGATAAATATAACTGATTTTCATGAGACCAATACACAGATTTATGGATGAGTGTTAAAATATTTATTCTATCAGGTTTATATTAGATCCTTTTTTTACATCTTCACTAATTTTTTTTTTATTTTTTTTTGGACTATGTTAAGAGGGTTACCGACATTTTTGTGGTTGTGTTCTGTGCTCCATTGCAGAGACACAGTAATTTTTCTTGGGCACCATTATCCTTTAACTGGCAACGAGCCAAATACATGTGAATTTACCCTGTAAGATGTTTTAGTAAGCCTGGTGCATTTAGTCCACTTATTTTTTAAGTGTTCATTGCATAATACAAAATCTAAAACTAATTCTTGTCTTGTTCACTTAATTTTACTATTTGAATTCACCAAATAAAAATTAAATGTAACAATATCTTGTAACCTGATGCCTCTGTTCTCCACACAGTTAATAGCTACATACTCAGGAGCTAGGTAACTGTTGTGGTAACTTGAATAGGCTAATGTGTGTTAAGTATATTAAATGTGGATTTTCACATTGGTAGTTCACTGCTCTAAGTAAGAAGCAACATTTCCATGTGTTTGTACATTTCAGTATACTGTACTATATTTAATTCTATGCACTTTGGTAATTTAAAAAGATTTTATTTTTTAACATTTAATATAAAATGTACTGTTTTAAAAGGCAACACAGTTGTAACAACATGGAAATAAATAAAGAGGAGCTGCTATGCAGTGGATCAATCGCAACACATTAAGGAACCAACACGGGAAAATAATATTTTAGATTTAGTGTTAACTAACAGGGAAACGCAAATTAATGACATCGAAATAGGGAGTGAGCTAGGGAGCAGTGATCACAAAGAAATCAGATTTAGCATAGAATGGAATAGACCAGTAGGAGAAAATTCTGTTAAAGTGCCAGATTTTCGAAAAGCTGATTTTAATAGCCTAAGAAATTTTTTGGGTCAAATTGATTGGAAAGGCTTGGGTATGGGGTGTGGGCCGGTCTTGGAGCGAGACATGAACCCAGCGATAGGTGACTTAAATGGGGATTTCGATGTGGATTCAATATATAACTTATTTAAGAATATTCTAAACAAAGCACAGGAACGTAGTATACCATACAAATTGAATAGATCGTATACTAATGACCCAAAGTGGATAACAAAGAATTTGAAGAACCTTATAGGTAAAAAGAGAGCTTGGTACAAAAGGATTAAAAATGGGGAGGTCACTTTAGAACAGGAATTCGTACAACTGGTTAGAAATGTTAAAAAAGAGATAAGGAAAGCAAAAAGAAACTATGAAGTTCGCATAGCAGGGCAAGCAAAGACAAATCCTAAAGGGTTTTTTCAGTTATATCGTACTAAGACTAGGGAAAGGATAGGTCCATTAAAAACTGAGACAGGTCAAATAAGAGATAGTGATGAAGAGATGAGTAGTATTTTTAATAAATATTTTGTATCTGTATTTACTAAAGAGGAACTTAACAATATGCCTTCAGCCGAACAAGTCTATGTGGGTGGGGACGAGGACAGGTTGACGAGTTTAGCAGTTACCAGGGAGGATGTTCTTAAACAAATAGTAAAACTCAAACCAAACAAATCCCCAGGGCCGGATGAAGTGTTTGCTAGGGTGCTTAAAGAATGCAAAGAGGAGCTTTGTGACCCACTGTCAACCATATTTAATAAATCAATAGAGTCAGGCAGAGTGCCAGAGTTTTGGAAAATTGCTAATGTGATACCAGTTTTTAAGAAAGGAGATAGATCACTTGCGTCTAACTATCGACCAATTAGCCTAACGTCTATTGTGGGAAAGTTACTCGAATCTATAATAGCAAATAAAATTCGTCTTCATCTTGAAAAACATAAATTAATAATTGAGTCGCAACATGGTTTTATAAATGGCCGTTCATGTTTAACAAATTTGTTATCTTTTTATTCTAGCATTGTTGAGGCAGTTGATAGTGGTAAGGATTGCGATGTTGTATACCTTGACTTTAGCAAAGCTTTTGATACAGTGCCACATGAAAGACTGATTAAAAAATAGAGTCTCATGGTATTGGGGGTGCTATATTAAGCTGGATTAGGGCATGGCTATACCAAAGGAAACAGAGAGTTAGTATAAATGGAATCAAGTCAGAGTGGGAAAATGTTGTAAGTGGAGTGCCTCAAGGCTCTGTCCTGGGACCTCTGCTGTTTATAATATATATAAATGATTTAGATTCAGGTTTGAGTAGCAACATTTGCAAATTTGCCGATGATACGAAAATCGGTAGGGAAATTAATTCGGAGGAGGACTCACTATCACTTCAAGTTGATCTAGATAGGGTTTTGAAATGGTCAAAGGATTGGCAGATGCAGTTTAATGCTGATAAATGTAAAGTTCTGAGGTTAGGTAATGATGATAGAGTTACAAGATACGAGCTAGATGGTGTTGTGATTGCGAAGTCGGATTGCGAAAGGGATCTGGGAGTTATGATTAGTAAGAATTTAAAACAAAAGGATCAATGCATAAATGTTCGTAATAAGGCAAATCGGACACTTGGATTTATTAATCGCAGCGTTAGTAACAAGACACCTGGTGTGGTTCTCAAGCTATATCTTGCTCTAGTTAGGCCCCATTTAGATTATGCAGTTCAGTTTTGGTCGCCATATTATAGAATGGATATAAATTCACTTGAACGTGTCCAGCGTAGGATGACTAAGTTAATTCCCCAAATTAGAAATCTTTCATATGAAGAAAGATTAACAAAGCTTAAGTTGCATTCACTGGAAAGGCGAAGAGTTAGGGGTGACATGATAGAGGTTTACAAGTGGATGAATGGACATAACCGGGGGGATATTAATAGGGTATTAAAAGTATCAACACAGGACAGAACACGAAACAATGGATATAAATTGGATAAGTTTAGATTTAGGAAAGACTTGGGTAAATACTGGTTCAGTAACAGGGTTGTTGATTTGTGGAACCAATTGCCGCGTAACATTGTGGAGGTGGGGTCCCTCGATTGTTTCAAGCACGGGTTAGACAAGTATATGAGTGGGATTGGGTGGTTATAGAATAGGAGCTGCCTCGTATGGGCCAATAGGCCTTCTGCAGTTACCTTTGTTCTTATGTTCTTATGTTCTTAATAGGCATTCTTTGGCATATTATACTGTACTGTATTATGTTCTGTAATATCCAACATGAATATAATTGCATGGGTAAGATATATTACTCACTACAGGAAATTAGGGGGTGGTCATTTTCAATATACTCCTAAAAAGAGCACAGCCACTACATTATATATGTATACATGATGTAGAACATGCAAACTGCATCGGAGAGGACCTAAAAATCCCCTCTAATGTATTATGCATTTCTTTTCTCCTTTTTTTGAGGATTGGAAATGGCCACCCTACATGAAATAAATTGTTACATGTTCTGGTTTTTGCAGGAGTAAAATTTAGATGAATGCCCTTGAATTCATTGTTAGCCTTAATTCTTTTTGGACTTGAATGTACTGTACTGTTAGGAAAGCTTTAATTATGAAGCTTTTTCATAAATATATAGATGTTTATTTCTGTCATGAGGAGAGCTTAAAATTAAATTGTAAAAATGTGTAATTAACTTTAATAGTAAAATTATAGAAATATATATTCTGATGTAGAAATATATTACATGTTTTATAACATTGTTTTATTACACCATTTAAAAGTTTTTGAGTTAAGATTTGTCAAATTTCTTGTATTCAATGCTGCTTGGATATTCACATATATCTGTATACTGTACCTGTATAATGGTGCATGTGTGCCTACAGGAATGGGCATTAGTTGTCTTATGGTGAATGACAACTTTGAGAGCAAATATGACAAAGCATATTAGAACATCAGAAAATGGAAAAACCACCAGGAACAGTAGATAAAAATTAGGGCTATAGAGCTAGATCTCGCTTTCTATTGACACAAGCATACACACAATTAGGCGAGTACACAAACATAATTAATGAACAGATTGAAGGATATTACAAAAAAAGATTAATCAAATGATCTTTGATCATTGCAAAGTAAAATCTACAGTTTGACAATGCAAGTAAACGATCACTGTTGAGTATTTAATGACATACAAGGAATCTTTGTTAAAGCGAACAAAGCAGTTATCATATTAACTGTCTGCTTTTAGCGTTGAAGGTTATTACACTGGATAGAGGAGTATATTCGTGAAAGAAAGGCGTAGCAGAGTGGTATCTAGGTTGTATGTCATCTGTAAGATCTTTTGAACTGGACACTTAGAGGAGTATAAAGTCCCACCCCTGTTTAATATATTAATGAAAAGGATATAATCCAAGAAACTGCTAACCTATATGGTAATTCTTATCGTATATATAAATTATA